CAGTTGGTTCCTAAAATGTGAGGAAGATATATTTATAAAATGTCTCTATGCATTTATAATGACAGTATACTTATGTAGAGTAACGTACAGCAATGCTTGGATATTCAGAGGTTTGTAGTAATGTCACTGAGAGACGGACGAACAGACAGACAGACTGACAGTAGTAATGTCACATACAGAGATAGCCAATCAGACAGACAGTAGAAATGTAATACGCAAAGATAGCCAGTCAGACAGACAGTAGTAATGTCACATACAGAGATAGCCAGTCAGACAGACAGTAGTAATGTCACATACAGAGATAGCCAGTCAGACAGACAGTAGTAATGTAATACGCAAAGATAGCCAGTCAGACAGACAGTAGTAATGTAATACGCAAAGATAGCCAGTCAGACAGACAGTAGTAATGTCACATACAGAGATAGCCAGTCAGACAGACAGTAGTAATGTCACATACAAAGATAGCCAGTCAGACAGACAGTAGTAATGTCACATACAGAGATAGCCAGTCAGACAGACAATAGTAATGTTTGCCATCCTTGCTGCAGCTCATTATATTGCCATGTACAGTTAATGAGAGTGGAGCTGGCTAATTATCCACATAATCTAATGAGTACCAAGCTTTCTCCACTGACAGACATGACTGCACACAGCTGACTTTAGCCAGACTTGATCTTAATCAACAGTGGCATAACTGATCAATCGTTCTGTTTTGTGTATGTGTGTGTGTGTGTGTGTGTGTGTGTGTGCATGTGCGCATGCTTGAGTGCATGTGTCTGGCCTGATGCTGTGAGAGACAGACCTAGGACCGTTGTATTTTTACTGTAATGAAAACAATTATTGGGAATATGCTAATGATTTGAACTGTGGTTGGATGTTTTTAAAGGCCAGCTTCCCCTGGCAGCAGTCACCCACCGCATCCATTTAACCTTAAGCATTATAAACATCACCGTCTCACTGCTCAATTCCTTTCTCACTGTCTTGTTACATTATAAACATCACTGTCTCACTGCACACTGTCTCACCCCTCAGTACCTGTCTCTCTGTCTAGTTTTACATTCATTATTATAAACTTCACTGCTCATGAAGGGTACGGCTCAGAGAGAGAGGGAGAGGGATAAGTGATTATCAGGGTTGAGATAGATGGTCTTCAGAGACAGACAGCTACACACACATGGACAGACACACACCGTGCTGAGACCCACCCCTGAATTAGTACTTAGTAAGTGAAGCCCTTAGAAACACAGATATAATACATTTGAGATTCACCGTAGCATCATTACACAGTTTTAACCTTCAACCCCACAGCCCTAACCCATCCCCCACCAGTCTACTACAGGCAGGAGGAAGAGTAAGGAGGAAGAGGAGGGAGATGAGTGAGGAGGAGGTGGAGGGAGGAGGAAAAGGAGGAGAAGGAATCAGAGTTGTGCAATCATTCAGAGAGCAGTTAATGTCTGCTGGCCACAGGTGTCTGGTAATGAATGTATGTGTGTGTGTGTGTGTAGCCTACAGGGAAGACAGGCTTTGTCCTCAGCTCAATACTGCTGTCACCGAGATTCAGCATGAATTACTGAATGTTGATATGGAGAAAAGCAGGAGAAGAGACTGTTTTTTATTGAAATGTGAGAAGTGTGTGTACAGTGCATTCGGAAAGTATTCAGACCCCTTCCCTTTTTCCACATTTTGTTACGTTACAGCCTTATTCTAAAATTTATTAAATAAATGTTTTTCCTCATCAATCTACACACAATACCCCATAATGACAAACCGAAAACAGGTTTTTAGAATTCTTAGCAAATGTATAACAATTTACAAAACAGATTTACCTTATTTACATAAGTATTCAGCCCCTTTGCTATGAGACTCGAAATTCATCCTTGAGATGTTTCTACAACATGATTGGAGTCCACCTGTGGTAAATTCAATTGATTGGACATGATTTGGAAAGGCACACACCTGTCTATATAAAGTCCCACAGTTGACAGTGCATGTCAGAGCAAAAACCAAACCATGAGGTTGAAAGAACTGTCCGTAGAGCTCCGAGACAGGATTGTGTCGAGGTACAGATCTGGGTAAGGGTACCAAACATTTCTGCAGCATTGAAGGTCCCCAAGAAGCTTGGAGTTTGCCAAAAGTTACCTAAAGGACTCTCAGTCCATGAGAAACAAGATTCTCTGGTCTGATGAAACCAAGATTGAACTCTTTGGCCTGAATACCAAGCGTCACGTCTGGAAGAAACCTGGCACCATCCCTACGGTGAAGCATGGTGGTGGCAGCATCATGCTGTGGGGATGTTTTTCAGCGGCAGGGACTGGGAGACTAGTCAGGATCGAGGGAGCAAAGTACAGAGAGATCCTTGATGAAAACCTGCTCCAGAGCTCTCAGGACCTCAGACTGGGGCGAAGGTTCACCTTCCAACAGGACAATGACCCTAAGCACACTGCCAAGACAATGCAGAAGTGGCTTCGAGACAAGTCTCTGAATGTCCTTGAGTGGCCCAGCCAGAGACTAGGCTGTAATCGCTGCCAAAGGTGCTTCAACAAAGTACTGAGTAAAGGCTCTGAATACTTATGTAAATGTGATATCAGTTTTCTATTTTTAATACATTTGCAAAAATTTCCCAAAACTTGTGTTTGCTTTGTCATTATGGGGTATTGTGTGCAGATTAATGAGGGAAAAATGCAATTTAATCAATTTTAGAATAAGGCTGTAACATAACAAAATGTGGAAAGAGTCAAATGCACTGTATAGTACATGTATGAAATCGGACAAATGTAAGCACCCCCCTAATTATTAATATTACCCGCAAGCTACAAGACTGCTAAAAACACTGAACAAAAATATAAACACAACATGTAAACACAGAATGCACTGTATGTCTGTGTGTGTGCAGGAAAAAAGCAGTTGCAACGAAAAAACCTCTGAAATGTGCCTCATCTCCTCCTCCTATCTACCCTTTCCTCCTCTCATGTTCCCCATTCATCTACTCTCTCTCCTCAAATCTCAACTCTCTCTGCTTTCACCTGCAAGGAGCAGTATCACATAAGTAAGTAACCTTGCATTAGCCAGAACGGCTCATAGGGTAGGAGCCTATCTCCTGTTTCTGTAGCGTGAGGCAGTTTGATGTAAAAGTATACCCACTGGACAGGATGCTAGTCTATCATAGGGCCTTACCCCCAATCTATCTCCTTAATGCTGTGTGCCAAGCAGAGATGCATCAGGTCCCATTTTTACAGTCTTTGGTATGACTCAGCCAGGGATTGAACTCACAACCTTCCAATTTCAGGGAGGACACTCCAACCACAAGGCCACTATCACCTAAATACTTTTAATCAAACAAGGCCTTGTTTGACCAGGGCCGACCATACAGATCTATGAGGGACTTGTTCAATCTTGAATGAATATGCCTACAGCAAAATCTGGTTTTCATGCCAATATATACAGTAGCAAAAATCTTGCTATAGCCTCTACAGAAAAGTAAATTTTTGCCAAGAATAACCAAGACTCTGAAAAGTCATAGTCAATCGATCAATAATATAATAATACTTTTAGCAGAACTTTTTATTTTTATTTCACAATCTGTAGAAGCAATGAGAATAGAAAGGTTCAGAACTTTTGTAAAACATCACAGTACGGTTGAAATATATATGGCAAATAGAAATCCTATATGGATGGTGTTAAGAGATAGATGGGAGGTATTGAATGGAGTTGAAGGATGGGACTAATAACAAATAATAACAAGATAACTAATAATGTAAGCATACTGTGTCCATAATAAGTATATAGGTTGTATGTTGGGAGCTTTTGGGAAAGAGCACAGTTAGAAAGATATGGCATATAGAAGCAAACCGGATGGACATCATAAAAATGATTGGAGAGGTTGAGAGTAGAAGAAGTTCAGGAGCAAAAACAAAAAAAACTAATAAAACAGAATTATTGTAAAATTGACTGTGTCCATAAGGTGTAGATAGTAAGTATAGGCTGGAAGTAGAGGCCTGGGCATTGTTGTTCACTAATTTACCCCAAGTAGGGAAAGGATGGCGGGGTTGAAAAGTAATAAAGGGGAGTATATATATAAAAAACATGGGGGATTGGAAGTGAGGCAGACAATTACATTGATGGAAGTTACAATCTATCTGCAATATTAAGCTGATCTAACCCCCCCCCCAAAAAAAATAATTAAAAAAATAATAAAATAAAATAAAGAATAACCAAGACTCACATAAACACGCACACACATGGTCAGTGGCTGTGAGTGTATCCCCAGTATGCCCTGGAGCTGTTGTCTTACAGGAGCGTTATGCAAAGGCCTCTGGATAAAGAACAGTGACATCATCACAGAGTGTTTGTGTGGTGTGAAGTGAACCAGCCTGAGGACAGATTAGTCTGGTGAAGAGGAGGAGGGGAAGAGAAGAGAAGAGAAGAGGAGGATGAACGTCCTTGAATGTCTGAAACCCCCTCCCCTCCCCTCCTTTACTTCCATCCTCCCTCCCTTTACCTCCCCATAGAACCAATCAGAAACAGAGAAGCTGTAGAACATTGACTTCCATCACAGTTTTAATGGGTAAATATTCTATCATATCAGGAGAACAAAGGTTTTATCACACAAATAAAGATTACAAAGACGATAGGTTTACTACCCAGGCGACAGAGATAGACAGGTCTACAGAGATGGACAGGTCTACAGAGATAATAACAGTATTCTACTTAATTTGACCCTGCTTAATAAAAATCCTCCACCAACAGGAAATGTGAATTATTATGTGGATTATCATTAATCTACATTTTATAGGGGTTGATTAATTTTTTGTTAATCAAGTCTGACATTTTATAGTGGAAATTACAAACTTTAGAAGCCTTTTCAAACCTTGAATACACTACAAAATGTATTTTGAAAATTCTCTGCTACAACAGAGTGATCAAATTAAGATAGCAAATCTGTATATCAGAAACATCAACAGTAGATATAGAGACTTCTCTACTTGCGTCCCAGGACAGTATCATAGATCTTGCCTGTCCTCTCCACCTGTATGTTTTGAAACCCTGAGGCTGTCAGCAGGGCAGTGTACTCTGCTGCCGTCCGCTCTTTCCCCTCCGTCTGCACCAGCATGTTCAGAGAGTACAGCTGGGCTGTCAGAGGCCCTGACCCGTCTTCACACAGCAACGCCTCTACCACCAACACACCTCCTCCTACACACACACACACACATACACACAGCAAATGAATAATGAGTGCGTTCTTTGGCTCTGGGCTAGGATGGCCTGGCTGTGATGTTAGTCAATGTGTTCTTCCTCAGTTGTCCTACCCAGACTGCTGCTTACTCTGTTAGTTTCTATCAGAAGGTTGAGCTGAAGGTTAAAACAATATCCTCATTTGCAGCTCTGCGGAATGTGTGTGTGTGTTATGTTCTTGCCAGTGTGTGTGAGTGTGTTTGTGTTATGTAAAAAGCCTCTGGCTACAGCGGAGCTCTCCAAGACCAGAGCGTGTGTGTGTGGCTGCTTGTGGGCTTGTCTGACAGGATGCTGTTGTTGACACAGTCACCCGAGGCGAGGGGGGTGCGGAAGAGTAAGGAGAGGGGTGGTATTTGTGACAGTGCAGCTATGGGACATACACACACAAACAGACAACGACACACACACACACACACACACACACACCAGCTCTCACAGTCTCACGTCAGAATTAGACGTTAATTCATGTTTCTCAAACGTCAATTTTCGAAGTTGTTCCGGCATTAACCCATTACAGTCTAAGCCCTGTCTAAGCCAGGGGGGTTCTACTAAGCTATATGGAATTGTTTTAAGAAGGTCATACCAAGGATCATTTAGCTATTTGATTTTGAATTTTAAGACCCGTTGAAGTATATAAAAAAAAAAAGGAAGGAAGTTTGTTCTGAAGTGTGTGTCCTATATCTGAGAGATCTAAGAAAGATCAGGAAACATTAATATTATTTCTTTACTTGTATTTAACCCCTTATTTTGGGCAGTAAACAGTCTCAATATACAGTACTTCCATTCATTTTTTCAACTGGTACCGAACGCTACAGACAGAAGTTGGCAGATTGGCTGTACCGACTTCAGACGAGCCCCAATACAATCGTTCGTACGCTACAGACGATTTTGTGAGAAGACGATGGTCTGACAAACACTGCTCTAGCTCTGTCACCTTTCACCACAGGCGATGCGGTGAATTGAGACATATCCAATGCAAAAAAACAGATATCTTTACCTTAAACTGACAGATTTTTAGGACTATTATTTTATTACGCTATTTCGATTTCCGCGGGGGTTTGGACATCGACTCTAGGGGGTTAACTCCGAATTTGTAAGGTTTGGCATTAACTCCGAATGGTTGAGGTTAGACATTAACTCCGAATGGTTAAGATAAGGGTTAAGGTTTGGGATAGGCTTAAAACTAAAATATCTTTCTATCGCTGGATTGGAAGTTGCAACCTTTGGAATCAGAGTGCTCACTGCTGCCCCTAGTGGGCAGTTTCCACGTCATCTCAGGAAGTCCTCAGACATGGATGGGCGTTGAAAACACACACACACACACACACACACACACAGAGAGAGACACAGCCAAGATGCATCTGATCTTTCTCACCAGAGAAAATTACTAAAGGAGAGGGGGATGTGTGTGTGTGTGTGTGTGTACCTGGTCTGCAAGCCCTGTAGACTTTGGTCAGTAGTTCTATGCTGCGCTCGTCCGTCCAGTCATGAAGGATTCTCGCCAGAATATAGAGGTCAGCATCTGGCAGTGCATCTTTAAAAAAGTCTCCTACACACACACACACACACACACACATACAAATACACAATGCTGTCAGTCAAAGACAACGACAACTTAGGAGAGAACATGTTCCTGCTCCTCCCATCGCTCTTTTTGAGGTCATTGATTGGCTGTCTCTCGGTGTAGGCGTTGTCTACCTTCATGGAAGCTGACCCTCTGGTTGTCGTCGGTAACAAAGTGTTCTCTGGATGTCTTCACCACCTTAGGGAGGTCAAAGATCGTCACAGTGCATTCTGGGTACGTCAACACACACTGCTTGGCTAGCGCTCCACTACAACCTAGAGAAAGAGAGAGGGAGAGAGAGATGCAGTGATGAGTAATATAGTATTTATAATCACAGGAATAAACAGCTTGACTTCCAGAGAGGGTAAACCAGGTGATCATGTTGTAATGGTAACCTATAAACTGATTACTGACTGACGGACATTAGACCTGGGGGCAGGACTAATTGGCAGATCAATAATCCTTAACTGACCAATGAGGTGCTGAGTCCCAGGAGAGCCCGCCCAGCCCTGGTGTGTGTTTGTGATGTGATGTGTCATCTCTATGTGGGGTTTACACCCAGACAGTGTCTACAGAGAGACTTATAGAAACCTGGCCTGTCTGGGAGACTGTTTAGCCCTGAGGTTGGGTGTACTTGATCAGTACTTTGTTTAGTGGAATCTGCATTCTGAACACACTCACTCTCATATCACAGACACACACGCACAAACAGTTCAATAGTACAGGACAGGGGAGAGAAGGAATCAAAGAAGCGAAAATAACAAAATAGAATGAAAGGGAAACAAAACGCACAGAACTTTTTCTTTCCCTCTCCCTCTTTCGTTTTCAACAACGTGTGTGCCAGAGCTCAACTCCTCTCAGCCTCAGCTTGTGGCTGCACAGCTACCCCCTGTGGTCTTTGGAGTTATTACACACAGCACTACTCTACACAGTGACCTTCTCTCCTTATGTCAAGATGGCCCCTTTAGCAGGCACACACACACAGACACAACTCCTTACCCCCGAGGTCGTAGATGGTTGTGAAAGGTGAGAGGTTGAAGGCCGTCACGACGTCTCGACCACAGATGTTCCAGATGGAGTTCATCAGCTGCATAAACTTTACCATCTCCTCCTCAGACCTACACATGTACACGACACACACAGACCAACACACAAACCTCTTTTCACACATACAGTATCAGACAACTGTGCCTAGCAAATATAAACTGCTCTCTGAATGATTCATAACTCTGATTCCTTCTCCTCCTTTCCCTCCTCTTCCTCATTTTCCTCCTCCCTCATCTCCATATTCTTCCGCCTTTTCCTCCTCCCTCATCTCCCTACTCTTCCTCCTTTTCCTCCTCCCTCATCTCCCTACTCTTCCTCCTTTTCCTCCTCCCTCATCTCCCTACTCTTCCTCCTTTTCCTCATCTCCCTACTCTTCCTCCTTTTCCTCCTCCCTCATCTCCCTACTCTTCCTCCTTCCTCATCTCCCTACCCTTCCTCCTTTTCCTCCTCCCTCATCTCCCTACTCTTCCTCCTTCCCCGCCTCTCACACAGCCAACAACGACTGACAGATAGAGTCAGATAGAGAGTGAGAGAGACAGAGAGAGAGAGAGTAAGGAAGAGAGTGTTTTGTTCTGAAATAAATGTGATCCTTGAAAAGTTCAGACTAGAAAATCACTGAACCATAAAACGGAACTATTCTCATTAGATTGACTGTGAAGCTCAAGGCCATTCCACAACTTTTCTCACTTCACTGACACTTTTTCTCCAGGCAGGAAAGCAGAGGGAGGGAGAGAATGTGTGGAGGAGAAGGAGAATATGGAGAGAGAGGGGAGAGAGTAAAGGTAGAGTAGAGATGAAGAGCCATGTGTGTACGTACACTACCGTTCAAAAGTTTGGGGTCACTTAGAAATGTCCTTGTTTTTGAAAGAAAATTATTTTTTTTGTCCATTAAAATAACATCAAATTGATCAGAAATACAGTGTAGACAATGTTAATGTTGAAAATGGCTATTGTAGCTGGAAACGGCTGATTTGTAATGGAATATCTACATAGGTGTACAGAGGCCCATTATCAGCAACCATCAGTCCTGTGTTCCAATGGCACGTTGTGTTTGCGAATCCAAGTTTATCATTTTAAAAGGCTAATTGATCATTCTTTGCAACTCTGCCTAGGTCAGCATCCCGGAGTCGCCTCTTCACTATTGACGTTGAGAATGGTGTTTTGCGGGTACTATTTAATGAAGCTGCCAGTTGAGGACCTGTGAGGCGTCTGTTTCTCAAACTAGACATAATGTATTTGTCCTCTTGCTCAGTTGTGCACCGGGGCCTCCCACTCCTCTTTCTATTCTGGTTAGAGCCCGTTTGCGCTGTTCTGTAAAGGGATTAGTACACCGCGTTGTACGAGATCTTCAGTTTCTTGGCAATTTCTCGCATGGAACAGCCTTCATTTCTCAGAACAAGAATAGACTAACACGTTTCAGAAGAAAGTTATTTGTTTCTGCCCATTTTGATCCTGTAATCGAACCCACAATTGCTGGTGCTCCAGATACTCAACTAGTCTCAGCCAGTTTTATTGCTTCTTTATTGAGCACAACAGTTTTAAGCTGTGCTAACATAATTGCAAAAGGGTTTTCTAATGATAAATTAGCCTTTTAAAATGATAAACTTGGATTAGAAAACACAACGTGCCATTGGAACACAGGACTGTTGGTTGCTGATAATGGGCATCTGTACGCCTATGTAGATATTCCATAAAAAAATCAGCCGTTTCCAGCTACAATAGCCATTTACAACATTAACAATGTCTACACTGTATTCCTGATCAATTTGATGTTATTTTAATGGACACGTTTTTTCTTTCGAAAACAAGGACATTTCTAAGTGACCCCAAACTTTTGAACGGTAGTGTATGTGTGTCACCTGTACAGGGCTTCAAACAGATCTTCAGATTTGACACCGAACGCCTTCTCATACTGGTTACTGCCCTCCCTGGGGGGACAAACTTTTTATAATCTTACTGGACAAGTTCAGGTTCATGTTTCAATTCATATCTAAACATGTTCTCCTTGGTGAACACAACTCTGGTGAGAGGACTCACCTCACAGCGTCGGTCAGGTAGTGCCAGCAGAGGTAGATGGTCTTGGAGCTGTAGTGGATGGACTGGGTCAGGGACACTGGACTGGACTGGGTCAGATACACACTGGACTGCTCTGTGTTACTGTATATCACTAGAGACACAGAGAGGGGTATATGAGAGAGTGAGAGAAAGAGAGAGAGAGAGAGAGAGTGTTACCCTATCCGTCCAGTGTGTGTGTGTGTGCATTACCCTGTCCGTCCAGTGTGTGTGTATTGAGTAGGTCCAGCCCGGTGCAGGCTGCCAGTAGCCTCTCAGTCCCATCCAGGCTGGCCCTAATGCCCTGCGCTACCTCCTCTAGAGACAGGGGGCGCTGTGACGAGGCCAGCAGGTCAAACACACCCAGCTCACAGGCTGTGAACAGGGTCTAGGGGAGAGAGGGCAGGTTCAAACACACACATCAAACAGTGGCTGAGAATGGGACTTGAACCCTATGTCTGTGTGTTTTACCTTGGAGACCAGGAAGCCTTCCATATAGTCCAGAATCTTCCGGGGGTAGGCAGCAGCAGAAGTAGTAGTAACAGTAGTAGTACCAGTCGGCTCCATTAGAAAACTCTTCCTTGGTCCCTCAGCCATAGCCTCTCACTAGACACCACTGCTTGACCAGCCTAGGTTTGTGTCTATCGCTGTATGAGATTGAGTGTTCCTGCGAGGCCTCCTGTTGTCAAAGGAGATCCGTAGGAGTCCTTTAGGAGTGTGTCCTGAATGAGTTGGTCCCAAGTCAATCCTGGTTCTGCTCCTGCTGCTAGTCCTCGTGTGTGTTGTAGTGAAACAGCCGATAGCTCTTGTAAATGTGTAGCAGTGCAACCGACTGAGGGAGTAATGTTAATGACCACTGCTGCCTCAGTCTCAGGTTTAATCGGATAGCCCATAGGTCGTGTGTGTGTGTGTGTTAGAGTGCAGCCCCAGTCAGAGCAGAATAATCAGATTAGTCAAATTACCCAGATTACAGTCAGCGGCTCAGACCTCAATACACTGGGACCTTGTTTAACACTACACACACGTCATTCTGTTTCCTACTGTCATTACACTGGGGCCTGCTTTAACACTCACTACTACTAAAACTACACAAAAAAAACAAATCTCAGTTTGTAATAGAACCACAGATTAGCTAGAATGATTAAATGATATGTTTAGAAGGAATGCTCTAGTAGGCTAGTAGGTTATCCATCCATTCAGTCAGAATATTAATCCAAAATAAATCACATCTTTTCAGTTGTTTCTTTAATTCAACAAATAAAATGACAGTGTGTTGAGGACATGCAGCCACCCAGCAGAGCAGAGAAACATGAGCATATACAGAAGATTGATGACACCCTGAACCTTTATACAACCTATATACAACGTTACCCACTCACTCTGCTCTGTTCACACACTCATCAATAAGGCAAATTAAACATGTACACAGACAGGCAGGCTCCTGGCTTGATCTAGCAGGGGCACCATTAAAATAATGAACATGGTGAAACTAGGCTTCTGTCTGGGGTGGGTGCTTTAAAACACTGAGTCACCTAAAATTCTCTCTCACCAGAACACTGCACACTCATCTTTAAATCTTACAGAACCACTTTATGTTATAGTGACATCAAGTTAGAACTTAAACTACTGTCTAGTCTGGTGGTCAGACGTGGAACTGGAAAACGTGTGTCTGGTCAAGCTGTTTTTAGTCTGATAGTCTGTTCTCTTTTTCCTGGGGTAAAACACTTGACTTAGACTACAGCTGTCTATCTACTGCACTAGACTATGTGGTGTCTGCCCATAGGACTACAGATCCCTGCATCCTGCTGAAGTGCTCTAATACTGAACTACAGTTCCCAGAAACCCAGTAACACTGTTCTTCTGAAACACAAAACAGGCCATTCACTGTGACCCTAAAAAGTTGAAGTATTTTTTCTGTGGCCTTCTTCTGTGTGTCTTTGCTCACAGGAGACACATACTAACAGCGTGATCAATCTACAGTACATATGGCATCTACACTACATGTGTCAAACAGAACATAATAGCAGTATAGCATTCTGTAACCTTGAAGTCAATAATAAACTGAGACTACAGATGAACGAAGAGCATTGGGGGAGGGAGGGACAAAGAGAGGTGTGTGTGTGTAGACTGTAAGAAGCTGATATGGTCCAAAGACAGTGGGCAGCAGATACCAGCATACATAACTAGATCCCCTGACTGTGCATTACTAGAACTAGGCCCAGGCATAGGGTCCTCTTCTGTCTCCTCTGGCTGTGTTTACAGTTTAGTGTCGTCTGGAATGAGAACGACTACCACTACGCTTCCTGGAGTCCCTGTCTTGATCGCTGCTCCCGTCTCTACTCCTCTCTTTCTCCCTGCTCCTGTCTTTCTCCCTGCTCCTGTCTTTCTCCCTGCTCCTGTCTTTCTCCCTGCTCCTGTCTTTCTCCCTGCTCCTGTCTTTCTCCCTGCTCCTGTCTTTCTCCCTGCTCCTCTCTTTCTCCCTGCTCCTCTCTTTCTCCCTGCTCCTGTCTTTCTCCCAGCTCCTCTCTCTACTCCTAGAGCTGCTGCTACTAGATCTGCTGTCTCTATGTCGACTATGTATATGGCTCCTCCTCCCTCTGCTGTGGCTCCTCCCACTAGAGCTTCTGCTCCAATCACGGCTGGTGCTCCTGCTGCTGCGGCCCCGTCCATGGTGACTGCGTCTCCTGTGGATACGACTACCACTCCTCCTCCTGCTATAGCTTCTCATCTTAGAATTACGCCTTCTCCTCCGTCTGCTATCGCTTCTCCTCCTCCGACTATCACTCCTCTTTCTACTAGAGCTTCTTCTTCTCCTGCTACCACTGCGTCTCCAGCTGTGGCTGTACCTCCTCCTGCCCCGGCTGTGGGACCGACTCCTCTCCCTCACCGCTCTGCTTCTCAACCCATAACCGCTCCTCTCCTCCATGCCTCCTTTCCTGTCCTTTCTGCCCCCTCTCCTCTCCTCCCATTCTCCTCTCCTCTCCTCCCATTCTCCTCGCCTCTCCCCCCTCTCTCCCATCTGTTTCTCGTGGACGTGTGATCGTACGGTAGCTCTGGGTCTCTCCTCTCCCCTTGGTCTAACCCCGTTCACACCCAGGGCCCTGGCCGTCTTCCCCAGGTCGGAGCTGTCTCCCCTGGGCATGGTCAGGGCTGACGGCTGGGTGGTGGAGGTCTGGTTCTCTCCCTCTCCTCCAGCCTTCTTCAGCAGATTACCAACCAGTCTCTCCCTCAGCTCTCGCTCTCTGCGCTGCAGATCCAAGGCACGCCCCTTCTCTAACTCCACACGTCTCAGCTCCGCCTCCTGCTCCCGCCTGCAGGCCTTCAGCTGCTTCTGCCGAGCTAACTCTTCCTTTTGCCTGGCAAACTCCTCCTTCTGCCTGGCTAACTCCTCCTTCTCTCGCTCCTCTCTCGCCGCTCTCTCTTTCTCCTGCTGCTGCTGTTTCAGAGCCTGAGGGAAGGGAGAGAGAAATTATTAAGTGGTTCCTATCAGCATGTTTCCGTATTGAATGTTCAATGGCGCCATGTATCAAGTGTCTGTAGTCGTGTGTGTACCTTGGCCCTGCTCAGTAGTTCAGCGATAAGGCGTATAGACTCCAGGTTCCTCTGAGCTAACAACAGCCTTCTCTCCTCCGCCGCGATCTTCATCTGCAACTTCTTCTGCTCCGCCTCCTGCCTCCTCTTCACCTTCTTTATGTTCCTCTTCTCCTCCTTCTCTCTCAGCTTCTGCTCTCGTTTCCGTATCCTCTCCTCTTTTCTCCGCACCTTTTCCTCCTCCTCCACCTCCTTCTGTTTCCTACAACCACAGCAGAAGCATGGTTCATCATCTAGTCTAATACATAGTTCTGCTACTGTCAACCAATACAGGCCCCAGTAGCCTAGTTCCTACCAGTGGAGGCATTTCAGAGGAGGACCAATTTCATACAAATAAAAATAGTGAAACATTTAAAAAGGTATCCTTTTTGGATAAAACTATAAATATAGTCAGAGCACCAAATAATTGATTAAAACACACTGTTTTGCAATGAAGGTCTACAGTAGCCTCAACAGCACTCTGTAAGGTAGCACCATGGTGTAGCCGCAGGACAACTAGTTACTGTCCTCCTCTAGGTGCAATGACTTCAATACAAAACTTAGGAGGCTCGTGGCTCTCACCCCCTTCCATAGACTTACACAGTAATTATTCGTCATCCAACCGATCACAGCTCTTGCAGCAGCATGAACTGACATGTTGTCCACCCAATCAAAGGATCAGAAAATGAATCTAGTACTGAAAGCATAAGCTACAGATAGCTAGCACTGCAGTGCAAAAAATGTGGTGAGTAGTTTACTGAAAGAGAGAGAAAGACAATAGTTGAACAGTTTTGAACAAATTCATTTCTTAAAAAATTAAGAAGCAAGAGAGCGAGAGCGAGCTATATTTCATATTTTTTTCACTTACAGTGGGGAAAAAAAGTATTTAGTCAACCACCAATTGTGCAAGTTCTCCCACTTAAAAAGATGAGAGAGGCCTGTAATTTTCATCATAGGTACACGTCAACTATGACAGACAAAATGAGAAAATTTTTTTCCAGAAAATCACATTGTAGGATTTTTAATGAATTGATTTGCAAATTATGGTGGAAAATAAGTATTTGGTCAATAACAAAAGTTTCTCAATACTTTGTTATATACCCTTTGTTGGCAATGACACAGGTCAAACGTTTTCTGTAAGTCTTCACAAGGTTTTCACACACTGTTGCTGGTATTTTGGCCCATTCCTCCATGCAGATCTCCCCTAGAGCAGTGATGTTTTGGGGCTGTCGCTGGGCAACACGGACTTTCAACTCCCTCCAAAGATTTTCTATGGGGTTGAGATCTGGAGACTGGCTAGGCCATTCCAGGACCTTGAAATGCTTCTTACGAAGCCACTCCTTCGTTGCCCGGGCGGTGTGTTTGGGATCATTGTCATGCTGAAAGACCCAGCCACGTTTCATCTTCAATGCCCTTGCTGATGGAAGGAGGTTTTCACTCAAAATCTCACGATACATGGCCCCATGCATTCTTTCCTTTACACGGATCAGTCGTCCTGGTCCCTTTGCAGAAAAACAGCCCCAAAGCATGATGTTTTCACCCCATGCTTCACAGTAGGTATGGTGTTCTTTGGATGCAACTCAGCATTCTTTGTCCTCCAAACACGACGAGTTGAGTTTTTACCAAAAAGTTCTATTTTGGTTTCATCTGACCATATGACATTCTCCCAATCCTCTTCTGGAACATCCAAATGCACTCTAGCAAACTTCAGACGGGCCTGGACATGTACTGGCTTCAGCAGGGGGACACATCTGGCACTGCAGGATTTGAGTCCCTGGCGGCGTAGTGTGTTACTGATGGTAGGCTATGTTACTTTGGTCCCAGCTCTCTGCAGGTCATTCACTAGGTCCCCCCGTGTGGTTCTGGGATTTTTGCTCACCGTTCTTGTGATCAATTTGACCCCACAGGGTGAGATCTTGCGTGGAGCCCCAGATCGAGGGAGATTATCAGTGGTCTTGTATGTCTTCCATTTCCTAATAATTGCTCCCACAGTTTATTTCTTCAAACCAAGCTGCTTACCTATTGCAGATTCAGTCTTCCCAGCCTGGTGCAGGTCTACAATTTTGTTTCTGGTGTCCTTTGACAGCTCTTTGGTCTTGGCCATAGTGTGACTGTTTGAGGTTGTGGACAGGTGTCTTTTATACTGATAACAAGTTCAAACAGGTGCCATTAATACAGGTAACGAGTGGAGGACAGAGGAGCCTCTTAAAGAAGAAGTTACAGGTCTGTGAGAGCCAGAAATCTTGCTTGTTTGTAGGTGACCAAATACTTATTTTCCACCATAATTTGCAAATAAATTCATAAAAAATCCTACAATGTGATTTTCTGGATTTTTTTCCCTCATTTTGTCTGCCATAGTTGACGTGTACCTATGATGAAAATTACAGGCCTCTCTCATCTTTTTAAGTGGGAGAACTTGCACAATTGGTGGCTGACTAAATACTTTTTTTTCCCCCACTGTAGCTAGCGAATGCAGCTAACTAATTTAGCCTATTCAAACACCCGGCTCAAACAGTGAGGGATGCTATCTTACCTAGCTGGCTATCCAACACTGGAACTCTTCCAAGTCAAGGTAACCTTTTGGTTTTATTAATTTATTGCCACCCGGGGCCTGCCGGTGTAACTGCTAAACTGCTTGCTAACTGTACTGCATGATTGTAGCGGGTTTACTAACACGTTAGTTCTAGTAGCTATGTTAACTTGACGTTAGCTAATATGGTGAGAACGATGTAGGCTGTGTGTAGTGGTTAGCGGTTATGATATGAAGGTTTGGCTTGGAAAGTTTTTTCCGCCTGATCACAGACAGCTGATGTGTTGTGTACAAGTCACTTGGCTCTGTCATATCCTCACATGGCCTCTCCTATCATTGCTACGCAGACGACACACAACTAATCTTCTCCTTTCCCCCTTCTGATAACCAGGTGGCGAATCGCATCTCTGCATGTCTGGCAGACATATCAGTGTGGATGATGGATCACCACCTCAAGCTGAACCTCGGTAAGACGGAGCTGCTCTTCCTCCCGGGGAAGGACTGCCTGTTCCATGATCTCGCCATCACGATTGACAACTCTGTTGTGTCCTCCTCCCAGAGTGCAAAGAGCCTTGGCGTGACCCTGGACAACACCCTGTCGTTCTCCGCTAACATCAAGGCGGTGACCCGATCCTGTAGGTTCATGCTCTACAACATTCGGAGAGTACGACCCTGCCTCACACAGGAAGCACAGGTCCTAATCCAGGCACTTGTCATCTCCCGTCTGGATAACTGCAACTCGCTGTTGGCTGGGCTCCCTGCCTGTGCCATTAAACCCCTACAACTCATCCAGAATGCCGCAGTCCGTCTGGTGTTCAACCTTCCCAAGTTCTCTCACGTCACCCCGCTCCTCCGCACACTCCACTGGCTTCCAGTTGAAGCTCGCATCTGCTACAAGACCATGGTGCTTGCCTACGGAGCTGTGAGGGGAACGGCACCTCCTTACCTTCAGGCTCTGATCAGTCCCTACACCCAAACGAGGGCATTGCGTTCATCCACCTCTGGCCTCCCTACCTCTGCGGAAGCACAGTTCCCGCTCAGCCCAGTCAAAACTGTTCGCTGCTCTGGCACCCCAATGGTGGAACAAGCTCCCTCACGACGCCAGGACAGCGGAGTCACTCACCACCTTCCGGAGACACTTGAAACCCCACCTCTTTAAGGAATACCTGGGATAGGATAAAGTAATCCTTCTACCCCCCTTATCCCACCCCAAAGAAAGAAAAAAACATATTGTAAAGTGGTTATCCCACTGGCTATAAGGTGAATGCCCCAATTTGTAAGTCGCTCTGGATAAGAGCGTCTGCTAAATGACGTAAACGTAAGTCCTTAAGCGAAGGGAAAAGGTGAGAGGAGAGCGTGTAGATGCAAGAAGGAATTATCCAATGATCAAAGGGATCATGCTGTTTGTATGTGGCTGCTATGACAGTGAACTGTGTTTGCGTGTGATCAGGAGTGTATTCATTCCGCCGATTGTGTTGAAAGACTTTTCTTAAACTGAAGCAAATGGAACGAAACGGGGATAAACATACCTGAATTTGTCCAATAGAAACTCTTGTTTGTAACTGTTGGACCAATGATTACACCCTAGATCAGCAAGATGCAGGCAAGATTGTGCAAGGCGATATTGAATGTGTCAATGTCTGTCACCTTGATTAGTCAAATTTCTATCGACCTGTGCACCTACGCTGTAGGTTTTAATTCACAGCCTAGGTTGTACCAACCTCATGATGGGTATAGGGAAAATTTTAGAATCATGTAGTAACCTAAACCTATCGATGTTACATTGAGCTGCGTGAATGGAATATGAATGACAGTAATCCAATATGCTGTACTAGAAATAAGGCAATGCGCGTTAAAAAAAGAATCGTCCTCCCTCATCTTAAACGTCACTGCCGCCACTGGTTCCTACTACTTTCTGTTTGTAGATCTGAAGGACTGGATGGGTGACCGCAATATGGTGGAAGCTCCCCTCTACACACTTGAAGACTAAGTAATTTACGGTTGAGCTGACACAGTGTTTACCATGAAAGTAATCCCTGCAAACGTCGGGCAAATGCCTTTGAAAGCCGCTTTGTCGTCTGTATATTGACCTGTGCTATTGCGAGGTTCGGACTGAATCCCGGCCTAGGACCCATCACCATGACGAAGATCACGGTAGAGACACTTAAGAAACAAGGACTAGGAAAACGGTAGGGCCAGTAATGAAGAAAGGATTAGATAGACAGGGGACACTGTTTTCAGACAAAGCACATTGCTTCTTCTCTTTTTCTCAGCATACCTTTCCTCCTCCTTGCGTTTCTCCTCCTCCTCCTTCTCTCTGCGTTTCTGCTCCTCCCTCTGTCTCTCCAGCTCCTGTATTCTCAGTCGTTCCTGCTGGCGTCTCTTCAGAGCCACGTCACTCAGGTGCTTACTGGTGTCAAAGGTCACCTGACAGACAGACAGTTAGCTGAGTGGTTCACCTGATTAGAGTTGGGGTAGGACTGTAGAGTGCACTAGTGACACTCTGGTCACCTGACAAAAAGACAGACAGACATGCTACTCTCCTCCTTCCACCCCCTCTCTCCTCATCCCCTCCCTTCATTCTCTTCATTTGGGTTGAGAGGCTTTGACCCCCGTGGATTAGACACTCAGCTCTCTCTCCTCATTTCTACCTACACCCCTCCCTCTTTCTCTCCATCCTCTTCATTAAGGCAGTATGGCTTAGTTCTGGATTAGGGACCAGGTCTCTGGTTTAGCCCAGTGATCCTTGGAATGATAATACAGCCCTGACTTTCATTTCACTAAAAGGCCTTAAACCTGTTGCCCTACACAAGCCTTTCTGTACTGACTCTAACCCTCTCTCTAAACAGCCCTTCTCATTAACTAACACACAACAGGACAATCCCCTCAACCCTAACCCAAATCTAACACAGCCTTACCCTCCTCTCTCTTCTATTAGGGTTTCATCCCTCTTAGTGTGTTTATATACACTGAGTGTACAAAACATTAAGAACACCTGCTCTTTACACGATATAGACTGACCAGGTGAAAGCTATGATCCCTTATTGATGTCACCTGTTAAATCCACTTCAATCAGTGTAGATGAAGGGGAGGAGACAGGTTAAATAATGATTTTTAAGCCTTGAGACAATTGAGACATGGACTCTGTATGTGTGCCATTCAGAGGGTGAATGGGCAATATAAATTATTTAAGTGCCTTTGAACGAGGTATGGTAGTAGGTGCCAGGCACACCGGTTTGTGTCAAGAACTACAAAGCTGCTGGGTTTTTTACGCTCAAAAGTTTGTGTGTATCAAGAATGCTTTCGACACCATGAGTCCATGCCCTGAAGAATTGAGGCTGTTCTGAGGGCAAAAGGGCTGATGCAATGCAATATTAGTAAGGTCTTCTTAATATTTTGTACACACAGTGTATGTGTGTGCCTGTAGTGTGGATAGTGAGTGTAGTTCAATACCTTGATGTTGCAGGCTACAGCTTTGCCGTCCTCTCCTTTGTACATGAGCTTCATGCCTCTCAGTGTGTCCATGGCCTTGGCGAAGCCATCGTACTCCTGGTACTGGACGTAAGCCTCAAAGTTAAGATGGCCACCGAAGGTGAAGGTGTTGAAGTTCTTATCCAGTGTCTCCTCTCTGTACGGGTCCAGCATTGGGATGTCCACGTGACGCACCGGACCAAAACCCTGGGAGGAGATGTACGGTTAGGGGGTGTGCGTGTTAGGGTTAGTGGGGGTGTGTTAGGGTGATTGATTGACCAATCGATGGTGGATTGAGTGATTGATTGCTAGGTATATGGTGCGTCCCTCCCTACCTGGAAGATGGCCTGCAGGGCGGTCTCGGAGGGCCGGTCGGGGGGTCCGTCAGGCAGGATAAACCAGCGGCAGGGCAGGCCCTCCAGGTGGATGGTGTCTGGCCTCTCCCCTGGAACAGTATCGTTCATGTCCTTGGCGTCACGGAAGAACGAGTCCCAGTCGTAACGTGTTGGGAAGTCCATCTTATTCTCTACCGCACGCACCTGGACACCCCACAGACCAGGGAGAAATTATTCATTATTATCAGTTGATTGGGAGAAAGAGAGTTCTGTTTTGCAAGAACCTGGGGAAGGCAGTCTGTCACAAAAAATACAGATTGTTACACTTTACGTTTCCCCCTTACATTTTCAGGCCTACATAACATTAGCTCAGCTACCTTGAGTATGTCAGTGAAGCCGCTGAGTTTGATGCTCTTCCCGTCCAGTTTGGCCAGCAGGATCTTCACAACCCCTCTGTTCTCCACCTCGCCCTCAAAGCGAATGAAGTCCATGGTGCTCTTAGAGATCCTGGGGAGAGACAGAGGTGGGACGTTTACCTCTCCATACAATTCATATATCAGTACCAGAAAATATTGATACCAGGCAACCCATTGGCCGTATTATCAGTATTGTCATGGTTTTACTGTTGGTTATTGTAGAGTTATTAGCTTGGCTATTGCTATAACGACACACATAAAAAATATGTGACCTATGACTATAACAGTATGAATGTGTTTGTATGGATAGGGGCAATTCCATGGTAACAGGGTGATGCTGAGACTAAAATGTTTCACTTTAAAATGTATTTCAAATAAAAACCAATGGTTGCAAAGTTAAACAAACCATACAACTCCATGACCAATTAATAATTTTAACAGTTTCCTTGAAGAACAGTGCAGATGCAAAGTTTGGTAACAGAATGACGGCACAAACAGCACAAACCGTCATTCTGTTACATCTGAACTGTTCTTCAAGTAAATGTGTTTTTGTAACATTTTCATTGGAAATTGTTAAAAGACGTCCTTGTGCATAGAGTTGTATGGTTTGTTTTGCAATCATTGGTTTATGTTTGAGTCTCAGCATCACTTATTGTGGAATTGCCCATAGGGCCCATGCCTACCTGAGGGCAGAAAACTGTTCAGGAGCTACCATGGCCTTCACCCTCTCCATCACCTCCCAGTTAGAGATGCTCTTCCCAGGCAGCTTCAGCTGGGGCAGTGCCACACTCACCTGAAAGAGAAATCATACAATACATAGCACTGTATTACATGCTCACCTGGAAGTCAAATACGTTAAGTTGGAGATGCTCGTTTAACTACTTCAGGTCCAAGTGTATGTGACAGTGTGTGTGTGTATCACTCACAGTCATCTTGGCGATGGGTTTCAGGAACAGGTTGTACTCCTGACACAGACACACCGCCTCAGTGGTGTCATGGACGATGGTGGTCATCATGACACCTGACTACAGAGAGCTGAGGGATGAAGAGAGAGGGGAGTGAGAGAGAGGGGGGAGTATGAGTAGGGTGGGGAGTATGAGTGGGGGGGGAATAGTGAGATAGTCAATGAGATCAGTGTGGTAAATGTGTAGATGTGCTGTGTCTTTCATATACTAGTAGCCTACTATCACTGGATACCTGGCTGGCCAGCCAAATAACTATAATTCATGCATAAACTGCCAATGAATGGATTTATCTTGCTATCTACTGTAACGTTAGTTAATATTATTTATTTTTAAACATTAGCCATGATATTGGCATCTTTAATCGAGTCGCTAGAAAGCAGACATCACTGTGACACATTTGCTAGCAAACTAGCTAAATCTCCGATATGTAGCTAGCTAAGCACTGAAACTAAAAACCAAAAGATAGCTAGCCGACTAGATGCTAACGTTACGACTGAGTGGTTTCAGATAGTTAGCATAGCAGCTACAGTAGCTGGCTAACGGTAACCAATGCGGCCCAGCACTTTTATCCTCAAAACAAACACTGAAATAGTTTACAGTTAGTGACGTAAATACACCAACCTGTTTCACCAGCTGCTAAATATATGTACTTTATGTTGTTTGCATGTGTCAAAACTAGAATATGTTCACAAGACGTCAGTTAACTGCAGTGTTCTGCACAACAAATGTAGCTCCAGGCGGAAACTTTCGAGTTGAGTGAACTTTGAACTTACCATAGACATCCGAAGGTCCTTTTTACTGTAGAATAAAACATTTAGCGCCACCTTGCAACGATTCCTGAAGCGCATTTGCGCATACCTTAATGATTTACTAACGAAATTAAGAAATATTTTGATTGAATATGTAACATATTACATTTCTTCATTAAACAAAATACATAATCGTGCACGGATAAATTGCAAATTGTCAACAACAAAAAATGGTATCAAAAGTATCCACTAGAAAGCAGCAACTGTCAACATTTGCCACCGTCATTACATTTTGACAAAATATAATATTGGCAAATACACTTTTCCTGTAGTCTTTCTAAGATTTCTGCAAATGGAAACCTACAGCTTGAGTAGGCATGAGAGTAGGGTGAGTAGAGTGAGCACCCCAATAGAGTGAAGTACAGTGCGCAGCCCCCAGCTCTCTGTTTCCTCTCTCATCCCTCTCATTGATTCAGCGGTGCTATAGAGAGCTAGAGCCCCGGGCAGTAATGTTGGCACAGTTTCCCTGAAAAGATGTGGAGGAATTTACATAATAGGCATTATTCCCCTCAGTGTGTATGTAGGTCAGGCAGGCAGCCATGAGGCCCTGGCAGCACTCACCCTGCTCTGCTCTGCTGTGCACCCTGCTCTGTCATCATCACAGATAAACTGAACATCAGTCATTTCTTTACAAGAAGAGAAATTGGTAAACTTCTTTGCGGGGGCAAATCAGTACTAAACTCCCTTCAGTACAGATTAGGGACAGTGCTTGACTTGGACAGGAGCTCACCGGAGCTGAGTACCGGCACCTCAAATGTTCTACTGCTTGAGCTCCTGTTCCTCTTATAGAATATTAGCTCAAAAGTATTGTGGAGCTCTTGCACCTAAATATAAACAGTACCGGCACACAAAATGAGTACCGGAACCTATTTCAGTCCAAGTCAAGCACTGATTAGGGATGCGAGGGCGGAGAAGAGAGAAGAGGGAGGAGAGGAAAGAGAATAGAGACACACATCATGAACATAACAGGTGCCGACTGGGAGTTGACTGTGAACAGTAACAGGTGCATAGCAGTTCCATCCAACAGCCTGTACACCTGCAGAGTAATGAATACTAGATGAACCTCAACTGTCTATAGCCAATCAGAGAGCATCAATAATTCAACCACACCACAGAGGACCTATCACTACGTTTCAGCATTAGTCTCATATAGACATTCAATATCTATAACAATACCTCTGTGTAAAGTAATTGTATAGTTCTGCTTTGACTACAAAAACACACAGACGTCAGATGTATTAAAACAGTTATTGCTTTATTTCCCCAATAAGTTTCAAAGTGAAAAGAAGGGGCACTATGAAAGGAATCTGGGACGAGAGGAGAAACATTCAAGTGTATAATACATATACAGTGGCTCAGAACTGGAGTGGTATCAGACAGACAGACAGACAGACAGAGAGACAGACAGACAGACAGACAGACAGAGACAGAGAGACAGACAGACAGAGAGACAGACAGACAGACAGAGAGAGAGAGAGAGAGAGAGAGAGAGAAGAGAGAGAGAGAGAGAGAGAGAGACAGAGAGAGAGAATACATAATATGACATTTGAAATGTCTTTATTCTTTTGGAACTTCTGAGTGTAATATTAACTTTTAATATTTATTGTTTATTTCACTTTTGTTTACTATCTACTTCACTTGCTTTGGCAATGTTAACATACGTTTCCCATGCCAATAAAGCCCTTACATTGAATTGAATTGAATTGAGAGAGAGAGAGAGAGAGAGAGAGAGAGAGAGAGAGAGAGAGAGAGAGAGAGAGAGAGAGAAGAGATATGAGAGAGAGATCTACTATATGACAGTAGGAGATCTCAGATATCATCTGATGATCTTAGCTGCTCTTACTGCGCTGCCCGTCACCCCCCCCCACAGACAGACACAGACAGACAGACAGGCAGTGCACAGCATCTTTGCATTCATCCAACATTAGGAAAAGTGACATCAGGTGCCCAGCAGTCAGACTGCTAGAGTCTAGCAACAGGCTGGTCTGTACAATATGTAGTATTTATCTATAGTATGCAAGGGAAATGACGACATCTAAACTGCAACATATGAGTGAGGAGCTTCAGCCCAACACTATGATGATCATGCTGGAGAATTTGAGGGTGTGTCCAAAAACATTTAAAATATTAACAGTCATTTATTGTGAGCAAATATAGGTAAACATATTTAGGGACATTTGTTCCACAGAATGAAAACATGTATTTATTCTATGGTAAATTCATAAACAAAGTAAAGAAAACCAAGTGATTACTTTTTATTTAATTTTTTACATGGGAACTCTTTTTCCCATCTCAATTCTAGGAGTTCTGACCCTTTCTTTTTCTATTCCTGACCATTTCAGGTCCAAACACAGTCTAGCGAATGTAACTTTACTGCAGGTAAAACATCTACACAACCCATTGGAGAACATCTAAGATCATAAGTAGGTTATAGACTCACCTATTTCATTGTAGTTATACCTTCAAAGTGACAAGTGCAGTTACATCGAGATTCGTGTTGAAGGAGTTCAGTGGTTAGTTTGACTTGTCTTTATAACAATATTAGAAGTTAAATAATTATGTTAAATATATTAAATAATTATGTAGAGGTAATTACTGTAAGCAGCACCTTAAATCCCCACAGGATTCAGATCTAGTGAGTGAAAATTTTTCTTACAGCAAAATGATCCCAGATCTATTTCCCTGTAATCTCTCGTGGACAGACTACGTAAACATAAATGGTGCGAGCATCTGACCAAATTATGCAATATTTTAGTTCTGGGTTAACTGTGATTAATTTCCCAGTGACTAGTAAACAGTGCCAAATCTAAAGTTTAACGTAGGCCTACAGTTCCCAGACCCAGGTTAAGCCTACTCCTGGACGGAAAAGCATGCTCAAAAGGGAATCTCCATGTTTTTTAGTCCAGGACTAAATGTAATCTGTGTTTGGTGGAAACTGGGCCCTTAGTACTAGCTCCCATGTCATAATGGTATCAGAATCAGTAGGCTGGCCATATTAGGGCCGCCTTTGAACTGTTACTGTACGTGCGATTTTAACAGTGCAGTGACTTATCCAAACAGATTGGACATTGGTCTGCCTTTGAGGGGGCTGGTTGGGCTGGTCTCCCCCGTATCCCCCTCCTCCACTCCCTCCCCCGTCCCTCTGAAGGAGGTGCTGTGGATGATCTGGGTCTTGTGGCGTCCTCGGTGGAGCCGTGCGTTGATCCGACTCAGAGACGACTTCCTCTGAACAGCCTTGCTCCTTCCTGACCCCCCTCCCCCTCCCTCCCCCCCCTCTCCCGATCCGTTCAGCAGCCTCAGTTGGTTCAGGTTGGACTGGAGAACTCTGGGTAATCTCCACCGCCCCCCTTGTGCCCCGCTGTCTGTGTTTTCTGTGTCTGATTCTCCTCCTCCTATAGGGCTGGTCCCGCTCCCTGGCTCCAGGGCTGCAGTAGTGGAGACTCCAGGGGGGAGGTACTGGACAGCTCTCCTCCCACTGTAGTCTCTGGCCTCTGAGTCTACAGACCACTGGTCTACCAGCACACGTACAACCTGACAATCACAGCATATACAACTTTATTTAAACCACCTAACAAGCATGCCACAGAAAACAATATCAGTGAACAGGGCAGGGTGGAGGGCAGGGCAGGAGGACAGCACCTACCTGTGTGTGTCCATGCATAGCGGCCAGGTGAAGGGGAGTGTACCCAGCACTAGAGCGTACATTAACATCCACAGGAACATTGTTCTGCTTGGCGTGCTCCAGTAGCTGTGTCAACAGCTCCTCGTTGCCCTGCTTGGCAGCCCAGTGGAGGCAGGAGAAGCCCGTCACAAAGTCCCTCTTGGTCAGCAGGCTGGTGTCCAGGATTAGCAGCGGATACAGACTGTCCCACTGGCCGTCCGAGGCACACAGCATCCATTCGTGCTCCAGGGGGTCCAGGGCCACTGAGACACAGTCCCCGTCTGCAGACGACAGCAGAGAGGTGGAGTCACTGTCGCTCCTGACAGAGTCTCTGAGACGAGAGCCGCGGTTGATCAGAGACCGACGTACCTGGAGACAGGCAAAGCCAGAAAGTAACAATTAGTAGGCTACATCTCAGCAATGGCAGCCTAAACAACCTTAGACCAGATACCAGTGTGGAAAATCTTTTAAATACAATAGAATAAAATAAAACGGTGTGTGTGTGAGTCAGTGTATGTGTGTGTAGCCTACCTGTGGGGAGCTGCTCATCATCAGCTCTATGAAGTTCCTGCGGCTGCTCTTGGGGTTGTTCCAGTCTCCGTCCAGTCCCTCCCACCCGCCATCTTCTGACAGAGCGCTGGTCAGCAGAGCCCTCTGGGAGCCCCGGGAGGTCCTCCTACTTCCCCTCACCTGCACCTGGCCAGCCAACACACCTGAGTCTGTCCCCAGTGCTGGAGCTGACTCTCTCCTCCTCCTGTCTCTTAGCCTCACCTCTCCACCTGAGAAGGAATCATCACTAACTTCTCTAAGCTTCACCTCTCTGACTCCACCTGAAGTAACATCACTAACTTTACCTTCCTCTAGGCAGCATGGATGATGAAGATTACCGTTCGATTCCATGTCATTATCAAGCCAAGATAGGACGTCGGGTGCATTTGAGTCTTTTTCAGGTGAATCACATTTATCACTAGAATTTCTGTTTCCATCTCGGCTGACATTGTTGCTCCCACCCCGTTCTCCAGATTCAGATAGTGGGCTGTCCCTACCACACACCCCATTGCCGTTACACTCTCCATCGTTGCCAGGGTCTGTGCGCATCACAGAGCTTGTGCTGTTTTCCTTCAAACACACGAATTTCACTCCATCCTCCAGTTTTATGAAAGCAACGCTGTCAACGTGACGGTTCAACCGTTCATTGAACAGTGTTTTCTTTGACGAATCACTTTTCCACACTGATTCAAAATGATCAAGCAGGTCCATATGTTTGACCACCCCTCCTTTCTCCATTAGGAACTCCAGGACGGCTTGTTCTGTGCAATCGGTCGCCATTTAGAATAGATAGTGGAAATAGCCAACACAATAATAACGATTTAAAATGTTTCTTTCCGACGTTGCATCGTTTCATCCATGCATCACTGACAAGTCTCTGAAGTACGCCGATGACAGCATATTCATTATCATCATCATCCTCATCCCTGCCCTCCGATTCTCTCCTCCTAGAGACACACCGTGTGTGACAGATAGGGGTCGCAGTAGCATCAAAACATCATCCCCTCCCCTAGCAACGTAATTAGAGATCAGTGAAACTGGCATACTTGTATGGCCATTTTGGATCCAATATTCTATTTGAAATTAACAGGGGTTCCATCCCTAACAGAGCCACCATGGTAGCAGTGGCAGGTTTTCATTTGGGTGATACCAATGTGCTTAAAGAAGGGGGATACCAATAATTTCTGTAAGCACAACCTTATCTACATGCAAAGAAAACTGCTGCTGTTCACTAAGAAATAAATACAATAAGTCTACTAGAGTGAAAAATTCCGAAATTTAGTCTAAAATGGCATTTTATTTTTGTGAATTGCATAGTAAAATGTATAAGTCACCCACACTCTAAAAAGTAGGGGTTCAACAAGGGTTCTTCTAAGATCCTCAAAGTTCCTTGAAGAACCTTAGGGTTCTTGGCACCGAAAAATGCCCTCAAAAGGTTCTTCCAAGAACAGTCCTAGCTTGCTATTATGGAAATCAAATTTAACAATACCAATACTGTTTTCAAATCGAAAGCTCAAACAAAACATGTCAAATGAATTCTTCCATGCAAATATACCGTGCGTTATAGGGAAATAATGCACGCTCTAGAATGCCCTTCAAGTCAATCTGAAAGGAGTATTCAACAATGCATGGTATAAGTAAGAATATGTTCAACGCTATAGCTGCATTGGGCGCAGATGACTAAACTGCTCCCTTATTTGTGTGTCTATGTCTACAGGTGGAGGAGGCACACAAAGGTATATACAATTGGTATTGGTTTGCCGCATAATGTTATGCCAATCACATATATCATCTACAGTTAATTGTAATGGTTTCTCTAAAACCTTATAGGACTCTTCAATGAAGATCCCAAAATACTCTACATTATGGACAAAGTATGTGTATGAAAAGCTGAAAACTGTTGTCAAAAGTGAATAATTTGTTTCGCCACAAAAACCAAGGTATGAATACTGTCATGTGTAGGTTTTGTTAATCATCTGTATAATTTTTTTTTTTTTGTATTCACAGACTTCACCCTCCCTACTCCTCAGATGAATATAACAGGAAACCTGTTCGATCACCATGCACTGCAAAATGATTCTGGCTATGGACAGCCTACAGAGGACATTCAACACATTAACATCAACATGCCAGAGGATATACCGATTGGACTTGGGGCTCTGCTGGGAGTGTACCTCATATTTTGATTTGTTAAATTCTGCTTTGCCACTATTCTGTTATTGTTATGCTGATTAATGTATGCACTCACTAATTGTAAGTCGCTCTGGATAAGAGCGTCTGCTAAATGACTAAAATGTTTTTAAAAAATTGTAAAATCATCACAATTAGATATTTTTCTACCTGTTTCCTCTACTGTGTCCTGGGGCAATGTTTTGTAATGTTCAGATATAACTATGTAATGTAGCTAGAACAAACATGCTTCTCCGACAAGGAATCATGTCGTCTCTATTAATTTGGCATTTCTATCTGCAACGTTTGGCAAATGAACGTGGCCCTGGGCATTGTCCTCATGGAAGTATTTGTTGTTGCGGTGTGGTACTGAGACACTAGAGGGCGCTAAGCAACCGCTTTAGAAGATAGAGAGAAACTGCCATGCACTATGATACATTTCTCGTTCAAAAGTATTTATCATCCTCATTATATAATTTATATATTAATAACGACCTATAGAACACTCAGAATAACAACAAAGAAAACTAGTTATTTTCATCAACCTCTCAAGACTGGATGCTTTTTCTTTTCAGCTGTGTCTCTGGTGGTCGGTAGACTATTTAAAAGGTGTTTACTGTCCTACTGAGATTATCTATGATCTTCAGTGTTCTCTTCATGAAGCTCTATGCCATTCTCACCTTCTCATGACACACTCCTGTGCTGCCTGCCTCTCAACCTGGCTCACTGCCACACACACAGGTTTGGAATGTGGCCAGTTGATGCTGTGGAATCTACATCAATACAGTATCTGCAGCAGCTCTGCTGTGTGTGTTTGTATATAGAGGTTTTAGGCTTGATGAGGGACTGAACGAGGTCAAACCTATCTTGTGCCGGACCAGGGGTGTGTGTGTGTGTGTGTGGAGGCAGTGGATGAACCATGTGCGTGGGTAGTGGGTTGGAGTGGGTAGTGGGCTGGGTTGACCGTGTGGAGGAGGATGGGGAATCTGGGTCGGGGTGACTTTCACTGTATCCTGAGGAGAAACACACCAACACAGAATCTGGCATGCTGAAATGCTGTTGGCATCAGAGAAGTGTTGACTAGAATGGTGATCAGTGTCCTTACAGCACAGTTTCCTACACACACACACACACCTCTCTACCCTGTGATGACACACATACACATAGTGTCACACACACACACACACACACACACACACACACACACACACACACACACACCTCTCCACCTAAATAGCGTGTGTCGGCCAGGCCTTAGCTTCACTCTAAATGCAAATGGAGGTGTGAGGTGATTATTCCTGACAGCCTTGCTGTCACCCACCTCCACTGGGACAGAGAGAAGAGGAGGGAAGTGATGGAGAGGAGGGAGGGGAGGCAGTAGGGAGATAGCAGGTTTGTCATCAGGCACGAGGCGAGACATGTTGTTTTAAAACAAAGGCATTTATTGCGAAAATGCACATGAAAAACCAACCAAACCACGACGTCATCATTACGAGAATGTTTAATGATCACATGGTAGAACGCTGGTCACCAGCGCAGGGCAACTCTGGCACCCACGAAATATAAATAATCTGCACAATATATATATTTATATATATATTCTTTATTTTCTGTTGCAGTAATGTAACACTTCTCTCATAGTTAGACAGCATGAGATTCCATGCTTAACAAACTTCTTGTAAAGTCTGTAAAGTCAGTGGTACAGTACTCACACCAGACAATCTGTAAAGTCTTGTCAGTGGTACAGCACTCACACCAGACAATCTGTAAAGTGTTGTCAGTGGTACAGTACTCACACCAGACAATGTGTAAAGTATTGTCAGTGGTACAGCACTCACACCAGACAATCTGTAAAGTATTGTCAGTGGTACAGTACTCACACAAGACAATCTGTAAAGTATTGTCAGTGGTACAGCACTCACACCAGACACTCTGTAAAGTCTTGTCAGTGGTACAGTACTCACACCAGACAATCTGTAGTCTTGTCAGTGGTACAAGTACTCACACCAGACAATCTGTAAAGTCTTGTCAGTGGTACAGCACTCACACCAGACAATCTGTAATGTTTTGTCAGACAAACCAGAAAGAAAGTCGACCTTAACACACTGACTCATGGGAACACTGGGGATCAGGCATAGCAAGATGGCCGATGTGTGGTGACTGGGTCATGTGGAAGTGCTGTATCTCTAACAAGGAGGTGATTTAGCTCAACAGACAAACAGGCTGGCATTTTGGGTTCAGTAGAAACAGGGATACAGCTGGTTCATCTGGGGCTAAGGGTTGCTTCTGGACCGGGTTTCACTGATACACTCTCTCTCTGAGGAGGAGGAGGAGGGGAGAGACTGGGACCCATCCAGTCCTTTCACGTCAGTGAGTGTGTGTGGGTGTGTATGTATCAGGGCCTGATGGAAAGGCTCTAATCTCATCTGAATCTTTGGGTGTTTAAAGTAATCTGTCTGTCACCCAACATCTGTCTGTTACCCAGACTCCCCTGCTGCTGCTACTCCAATCAGAACCAGATGGTCTCACATACACACGGGTGTTCTTTCTACTGAGATGGAGTGAACTGTCTGTTGTAGATCTAGTCTCATCTGTGCTGTAGCCAACTTGTTCTGGCCTTCCTAACTCTGTGTGCTTCTGTTTCACTATGTCTTCCTGACCTGTAGACTTATGTGCTTTACTCTTTTAAACCAGTTGATCCTACTTCTGTTGGTGAACAGTTGTTGTGTACTGAGTCAATGAGACAGTAGCTGTGTGCATAGATAGGAGTGGACCACTGTCGTGTGCTTAACCAATGAGAGAGGAGTACTGTTGTGTGCTTAGCCAATAAAAGAGGACCACCATTGTGTGCTTAGCCAATGAAAGAGGAGTACTGTTGTGTGCTTAGCCAATGAAATAGGAGGTTTGATGTAGCTTGCCAGACGTGAGGTATGTTTAAGACCATTGGTGTGCTTTCTTTCCCGGTTTTGAGCTGCCACATGGCTGGTATTAACCACGGCTGGTCGCTCTCTCTGTCGCACGCATGCACGTGCGCACACACACACACACACACACACACCAGAAGGAACAACTATCAGGTAAGCCAGGGTCTTTAGGTGCTTCTGTAAGCAGTACGGCCTGTCTCTCGCCATACCACACATTCATATGGACACTCATGTTTAGAGCATATACACACTAAAGCAGTAGAAAAATACTGTGCACTGCTCTTTGTTCCTTCAGGAGTTGCTGGCACCTCCATAAGTCATTGATGAGGTTGATGAAGGACCCCTCCCATAGCTGTCCTGGGAGTGCCTGTGTGGATAAAGGCCCCTGCTCCTATGAGGCTGGTTGGAGCTGGGGTGGCGGTGTGTTTGTGTGTGTGTGGGGTGGGGTGTGGGGGGTGGCTTGTATTACTATCCTTGTGGGTACCAGAAATCCCCACAACGATAGTAAAACAAGGAAAATTATCCCTCATGGGGACATTTCCCAGGTCCTTACGAGGACAAAGGCTATTTTAGGCGTAGGGGTTAGGTTTAGGGTTAGGGTTAGGGGTTAAGGTTAGGGTAAGGGTTAGGTTTAGTGTTAGGGAAAATAGGATTTTGAATGGAAATCAATTTTAGGTCTGTGTGTTTGTGTGTGTGTGTGTGTGTGTGTGTAGTGGTCCTGTTCAGAAGATTTCTACGAAGCTGCCGGGGAAGAGGCCAGTGCGTCCAGTCCTCTGCAGAGTGCCTTTGTACCAGCCATCTTCTCTCTTCTTATGAACAAACACCACGTCTCCCTGTCTCAGCTCGATCTCCGCCTCGCTCTGAGGGGGGTAGGGCACCACCACACGATACCTAGGGAGGGAGTTAGAGTTATGAATAATGATGCACTGTAAATCATATTCAAACACACACACACACACACGCCATAAACACACATGCCATAAACACACACGCCATAAACACACACGGCATAAACACACACACAAACACACAGTAAGAGGTGATATATGCAGCTACTCAGGTCAACATCATTCAGCAATCTTGTACATAAACGCCTCACATAGATTTATAAGTGCTTGACACTTTGGAGCAGTGTGTCTGGAACAGTGTGTGTGTTTACATTTGTGTGTGAGGTAGCTGGGTGTGTGTCTGTGTGTGTATGTTAAGCGGCTGTTCTCAGATAAAAAATGTATGTCTGTATAAACTAGAGGAGCTATAGCTCACAGTGACCGCTGAAGGACTGATAACCTACAGCTAGTATAAAGCTCCAAGCTGTGTGTGTGTGTCTGTGTGTGTGCGTCTGTGTGTCTGTGTGTCTGTGTGTGTGTATCTGCGTGTGCTTGCATGTGTGCGTGCTGGAGGGCACTCTTAGCTCTGACACACACCGATGCGGATAGGAGAAGAGTGATGATCAGAGCCTCAGTTATTTGTTGTGCTGCAGTGGTGTAGACTAGTGTATGTTTCAAGGTGTGTGTATGAGAGGGTGTGTAGACACGGTATATATTGGTGTAACCCTACATTGTAAACTGACATGGTCAAAACATATTGATGCAACGGTAGCTAAGATGGGGAGAGGTCTGTCCGTGATAAAGTGCTGCTCTGCTTTCTTGACATCACAATCAACCAAACAAGTCCTACAGGCCCTAGTTTTATCACACCTGGACTACTGCCCAGTTATATGGTCTAGTGCTGCAAAGAAGAACTTAAGAAAATTACAGTTGACCCAGAACAGAGCAGCATGCCTGGCCCCTAAATGTACACAGAGCGCTAATATCAATAACATGCATGTCAATCTCTCCTGGATCAAAGTAGAGGAAAGATTGACTGCATCACTACTTGTCTTTGTGAGCGGTATTGACCTGTTGTAAGTACCAAACTGTCTGTTCAAACAAATAACACACAGCTCAGACAACGTAACCTTTCTATTTTTCTGAATTCTTAAGGATTTTTTGATTTGCATGTATTGTTTTGTATTGTTAGGTATTACTGCACTGTTGGAGCTAGGAACATAAGCATTTCGCTACACCCGCAATAACATCTGCAAGATATGTGTACGCGACCAATAAAATGTGATTTGATTTAATACCCCACAATACATGCCACCAGGGGTCTCTTCACAGTCCCTAAGTCCAGAACAGACTCTGGGAAACGCACAGTACTAAATAGAGCCATGACTACATTGAACTCCGTGGACCGTGAAGAGACACACACACACACACACACACAGTCGTGGCTGAAGAAGGACATGGTAAATATAAATCAAGCTGGTATTTTATACATTGGCAGGACAGAATGGCTGCATCGGGGATGCTAAGAGGAGGGGGTTTGTGTCTCTTAGTTAACAACAACTGGTGCACAATCTCTTATATGAAGGAAGTTCTGCTCGCCTGAGTTAGAACCCCTCATGATAAACTGTAGACCACACTATTTACCAAGAGAGTTTTCATCTATATTTTTCGTAGCTGTCTATTTACAACCACAAACCGATGCTGGCATTAAGACCACACTCAACAAACTGTATAGGGCCATAAGCAAACAAGAAAATGCTCACCCAGAGGCAGCGCTCCTAGTGGCCTGTGAAATTAATGCAGAAAAACTGAAATACGTTTAACCTAATTTAGTCACCTGTGCAACTAGAGGCGAAAAAACTCTAGATCACCTTTACTCCACACACAAAGCTCCCCCTCGCCCTCCATTTGGCAAATCTGACCATAACTCAATCCTCCTCATTCCTCCTTCCAAGCAAAAACTCAATAAGGAAGTACCAGTGACACGCTCAATATGGAAGTGGTGCTCAGTTGGTAGAGCATGGTGCTTGCAACACCAGGATAGTGGGTTTGATTCCCGGGATCACCCGTGAGTAAAATATATGCATGCATGACTGTAAGTCTCTTTGGATAAAAGTGTCTGCTAAATGGCATATATTATCATTATATGAAATATTATAAGTGGTCCGATGACACGGATGCTAAGCTATAGGACTGTTTCACTAGCACAGACTGGAATATGTTACGGGATTAATCCGATGGCATTGAGGAGTTTACCACATCAGCCACTGGCTTCATTAATACATTAATTGATGACATTGTCCCCACAGTGACCATGCGTACATATCCAAACCAGAAGCCATGGATTACAGGCAACATCCGCACTGAGCTAAAGGCTAGAGCTGCCGCTTTCAATGAGGGGACACTTATCCAGATGCTTATAAGAAATCCCGCTACACCCTCCGACGAACCAACAAACAGGTCAAGTGTCAATACAGGACCAAGATCAAATCCTACTACAGTGCCTTGAAAAAGTATTCATCCCCCTTGGCGTTTTTCCTATTTTGTTGCATTACAACCTGTCATTTAAATTGATTTTTATTTGGATTTCATGTAATGGACATACACAAAATAGTCCAAATTGGTGAAGTGAAATTAAAAAAATAACTTGTTTCAAAAAATGCAAAAAAATTAATAACGGAACAGTGGTGCGTGCACATGTATTCACCCACTTTGCTATGAAGCCCCTAAATAAGATTTGGTGCAACCAATTACCTTCAGAAGTCACATAATTAGCTAAATAAAGTCCACCTGTGTGCAATCTAAGTGTCACATGATCTGTCACATGATCTCAGTATATATACACCTGTTCTGAAAGGCCCCAGAGTCTGCAACACCACTACGCAAGGGGCACCACCAAGCAAGCGGCACCATGAAGACCAAGGAGCTCTCCAAACAGGTCAGGGACAAAGTTGTGGAGAAGTACAGATCAGGGTTGGGTTATAAAACAATATCAGAAACTTTGAACATCCCACGGAGCACCATTAAATCCATTATTAAAAAATGGAAATAATATGGCACCACAACAAACCTGCCAAGAGAGGGCTGCCCACTAAAACTCATAGACCATGCAAGGAGGGCATTCATCAGAGAGGCAACAAAGAGACCAAAGATAACCCTGAAGGAGCTGCAAAGCTCCACAGCGGAGATTGGAGTATCTGTCGATAGGACAACTTTAAGCCGTACACTCCACAGAGCTGGGCTTTACGGAAGAGTGGCCAGAAAAAAGCCATTGCTTAAAGAAAAAAATAAGCAAACACGTTTGGTGTTCGCCAAAAGGCATGTGGGAGACTCCCCAAACATATTGAAGAAGGTACTCTGGTCAGATGAGACTAAAATTTAGCTTTTTGGCCATCAAGGAAAACGCTATGTCTGGCGCAAACCCAACACCTCTCATTACCCCGAGAACACCATCCCCACAGTGAAGCATGGTGGTGGCAGCATCATGCTGTGGAGATGTTTTTCAACGGCAGGGACTGGGAAACTGGTCAGAATTGAAGGAATGATGGATGGCGCTAAATACAGGGAAATTCTTGAGGGAAACCTGTTTCAGTCTTCCAGAGATTTGAGACTGGGACAGAGGTTCACCTTCCAGCAGGACAATGACCTTAAGCATACTGCTAAAGCAACACTTGAGTGGTTAAAGGGGAAACATTTAAATGTCTTGGAATGGCCTAGTCAAAGCCAAGACCTCAATCAAATTGAGAATCTGTGGTATGACTTAAAGATTGCTGTACACCAGCGGAACCCATACAACTTGAAGGAGCTGGAGCAGTTTTGCCTTGAAGAATGGGCAAAAATCCCAGTGGCTAGATGTGGCAAGCTTATAAAGACATACCCCAAGAGACCTGCAGCTGTAATTACTGCAAAAGGTGTCTCTACAAAGTATTGTTTCACCCAAGAAAATATGTTGCATCTTCAAAGTGGTAGGCATGTTGTGTAAATCAAATGATACAAACCCCCCAAAAAATCAATTTTAATTCCAGGTTGTAAGGCAACAAAATAGGAAAAACGCCAAGGGGGGTGAATACTTTCACAAGCCACTGTACCTCAGCTCTGATGCTCGTCGGATGTGCAGGGCTTGCAAACTATCACGGATTACAATGGGAAACCCAACCGCGAGCTGTCCAGTGACGCGAACTTCCAGACGAGCTAAATACCTTCTATGTACGCTTCGAGGCTAGCAACACTGAACTATGCATGAGAGCACCAGCTGTTCTGGACGACTGTGTGATCACTCTCTCCGTAGCCGATGCGAGTAAGACCTTTAAACCGGTTAACATTCACAAGGAGGATTACCAGGATGCGTACTCAGAGCATGCGCTGACCAGCTGGCAAGTGACATTTTCAACCTCTCCCTGACCACCATAGTCCCTGTGCCCAAGAACGCCAAGGTAACCTGTCTAAATGACTATCGCCCCGTAGCACTCACATCCGTAGTCATGAAATGCTTTGAAAGGCTGGTCATGGCTCACATGAACACCATCATCCCAGACATCCTGGACCCACTCCAATTCACATACTGCCCCAACAGATCCACGGATGACGCAATCTCTATTGCACTCCACACTGCCCTTTCCCACCTGGACAAAAGGAACATTTACGTGAGAATGCTGTTCATTGACTACAGCTCAGCGTTCAACACCATTGTGCCCTCCAAGCTCATCACTAAGCTAAGGACCCTGGGATTAAACACCTCCCTCTGCAACTAGATCCTGGACTTCCTGACGGGCCGCCCCCAGGTGGTAAGGGTAGGCAACAACACATCCGCCACGCTGACCCTCAACACGGGGACCCCTCAGGGGCGCATGCTTAGTCCCATCCTGTACTTCTTGTTCACCCACAACTGTGTGGCCGCGCACGACTCCAACACCATCATTAAGTTTGCAGACGACACGACGGTGGTAGGCCTGATCCCCGCCGACGATGAGACAGCCTACAGGGAGGAAGTCAGAGACCTGGCAGTGTGGTGCCAAGACAACAACCTCTCAACGTCAGCAAGATAAAGGAGCTGATTGTGGACTACAGGAAATGGAGGGCCGAGCACATATCGACGGGGTGTTGTGCAACAGGTCGAGAGCTTTAAGTTCCTCGGTGTCCACATCACTAAGGAACTATCATGGTCCACACACATCAACAAAGTCATGAAGAGGGCACGACAACGCCTCTCCCCCTCAGGAGGCTGAAAAGATTAATGGGCCCTCAGAAGTTATACAGTTGCATCACCGCTTAGTATGGCAACTGTTTGGCATCAGACCGCAAGGTGCTACAGAGAGTAGTGAGTACCATCCAGGACCTCTATACCAGGCGGTGTCAGAGGAAGGCCCTAAAAATGGTCAAAGTTTCCAGCCATAGACTGGTCAAAGTTTCCCGTCATAGACTGTTCGCTCTGCTACTGCATGGCAAGCGGTACTGATGCATCAAGTCTTGAACCAACAGGACCCTGAACAGCTTCTAGGGTGACAGGTAGCCTAGCGGTTAAGAGCATTCGGCCAGTAACTGAAAGGTCGTTGGTTCAAATCCCCAAGACAACTAGGTGAAAAATGTGTCCTTGAGCAAGGCACTTAACCAAAATTGCTCCAGGGTCGCCATCAATAATGGCTGATCCCTGGCTGTGACCCCACTCTCCGAGGGTGTCTCAGGGGAGTGGGATATGCAAAAAACTAACTTCCAATTCACTTCCAAAGTGCACTCGGAAAGTATTCAGACCCCTTCCTTTTTTTACGTTACAGCTTTATTCTAAAATTGATTAAATTAATTGTTTTCCTCATCAATCTACACACAATACCCCATTATGACAAAGTGAAAACAGGTTTTTATAAATTTTTGCAAATGTATTAAAAATAACTAACAGTAATACCTTGTTTACATAAGTGTTCAGACCCTTTGCTATGACACTCGAAATTGAGCTCAGGTGCCACCTGTTTCCATTGATCATCTTTGAGATGTTTCTACAACTTGATTGGAGTCCACCTGTGGTAAATTCAATTGATTGGACATTATTTGGAAAGGCACACACCTGTCTAGATAAGATCCCACAGTTGACAGCTCATGACAGAGCAAAAACATTTACATTACATTGTTTTTTTACAAAAACTAAGCCATGAGCTCGAAGGAATTGTCCGTAGAGCTCCGAGACAGGATTGTGTCGAGGCACAGATCTGGGGAAGGGTACCAAAACATTTCTGCAGCATTGAAGGTCCCCAAGAACACAGTGGCCTCCATCATTCTTAAATGGAAGAAGTTTGGAACCACCAAGACTCTTCCTAGAGCTGGCTGCCTGGCCAAACTGAGCAATCGGGGGAGGAGTGCCAGACGGAAGCCACATATCTTGCAGTGCCAGACGGAAGGCACATGACAGCCTGCTTGGAGTTTGCCAAAAGGCACCTAAAGGACTCTCAGACCATTACATTTACATTTTAGTCATTTAGCAGACACTCTTATCCAGAGCGACTTACAGTTAGTGAGTGCATACATTATTTTTTTATTTTTCATACTGGCCCCCCGTGGGAATCGAACCCACAACCCTGGCGTTGCAAACGCCTTGCTCTACCAACTGAGCTACATCCCTGCGGCCATTCCCTCCCGCCAATTGTGCGCCGCCCCATGGGTCTCCCGGTCGCGGCCGGCTACGACAGAGCCTGGATTCGAACCAGGATCTCTAGTGGCACAGCGGGAGGTTCACTGCGCCACTCGGGAGGTTCATGAGAAACAAGATTCTCTGGTCTGATGAAACCAAGATTGAACTCTTTGGCCTGAATGCCAAGCGTCACGTCTGGAGGAAACCTGGCACCGTCCCTATGGTGAAGCATGGTGGTGGCAGCATCATGCTGTGGGGATGTTTTTCAGCAGCAGGGACTGGGAGACTAGTCAGGATTGAGGGAAAGATGAACGGAGCAAAGTACAGAGAGATCTTTGATGAAAATCTTCTCCAGAGTGCTCAGGACCTCAGACTGGGGCGAGGGTTCACCTTCCAACAGGACAACGACCCTAAGCACACAGCCAAGACAACGCAGGAGTGGCTTCGGGACAAGTCCCTGAATGGCCTTGAGTGGCCCAGCCAGAGCCCGGACTTGAACCCGATTGAACATCTCTGACCTGAAAATAGCTGTGCAACGACGCTCCCCATCCAACCTGACAGAGCTTGAGAGGATCTGCAGAGAAGAATGGGAGAAACTCACCAAATTCAGGTGTGCCCAGCTTGAAGTGTCATACCCAAGAAGACTCAAGCCTGTAATCGCTACCAAAGGTGCTTCAACAAAGTACTGAGTAAAGGGTCTGAATCCTTATGTAAATGTGATATTTAGTTATAAAAAAATAAATAGATAACAAACCTGTTTTTGCTTTGTCATTATGGGGTATTGTGTGTAGATTGATGAGGGGGGAAACAATTTAATCCATTTTAGAATAAGGCTGTAACGTAACAAAATGTGGAAAAAGTCAAGGGGTCTGAATACTTTCCGAATGCACTGTATAGTACATGTATGAAATCGGATAAATGTAAGCACCCACCTAATTATTATTATTACCCCCAAGCTATAAGACTGCTAAATACACTGAACAAAAAATATAAACACAACATGTAAACACAACACAGCATGTAAAGTTTGTGTTTCATGAGCTGAAATAAAAGATCCCAGAACATTTCCACACGCACAAAAAGCGTGTTTCTCTCAAATTTTGTGCACAAATTTGTTTACATCCCTGTTAGTGAGCATTTCTCCTTTCCCAAGATAATACATCCACCGGACAGGTGTGGCATATCAAGAAGCTGATTAAACAGCAAGATCATTACACAGGTGCACCTTGTGCTGGGGACAATAAAAGGCCACTCTAAAATGTGCAGTTTTGTCACACAACACAATGCCACAGATGCAATTGGCATGCTGACTGCAGGAATGTCCACCAGAGCTGTTTTAGAGAATTTGGCAGTACGTCCAACCAGCCTCATTACCGCAGACCACGTGTAACCACGCCAGCCTAGGACCTCCACGTCCGGCTTCGTCACCTGCGGGATCGTCTGAGACCAGCCACCCGGACAGCTGATGAAACTGTGGGTTTCCACAACTGAAGAATTTCTGCACAAACTGTCAGAAACCGTCTCAGGGAAGCTTATCTGCATGCTCGTCGTCCTTACCAGGGTGTTGACTTCACTGCAGTTCGGTGTAGTAACCGACTTCAGTGGGCAAATGCTCACCTTTGATGGCCACTGGCACGCTGGAGAAGTGTGCTCTTCACGGATGAATCCCGGTTTCAACTGTACCAAGCAGATGGCAGACAGAGTGAGCATTGTGTGGGCAAGCGGTTTGCTGATGTCAACGTTGTGAACAGTGTGCCCCATAGTGGCGGTGGGGTTATGGTGTGGGCAGGCATAAGCTACGGACAACAAACACAATTGCATTTTATCGATGTCAATTTGAATGCACAGAGATACCGTGACGAGATCCTGAGTCCTATTGTCGTGCCATTCATCCGCCGCCATCACCTCATGTTTCAGCATGATAATGCACGGCCCCATGTCGCAAGGATCTGTACACAATTCCTGGAAACTGAAAATGTCCCAGTTCTTCCATGGCCTGCATACTTTAAAAAAATATGCCAGACATGTCACCCATTGAGCATGTTTGGGATGTTCTTGATCGACGTGTACGACAGCGTGTTCCAGTTCCCGCCAATACAACATTCCACTCAGTAAAATCTTTGAAATTGTTGCATGTTGCGTTTATATTTTCGTCAGCGTAGTTAGTTAAATAGTTAACCAATAGCTACCCAGAATATCTGCATTTACCCTTTTTGCATTAATCTCTTTTGACTCATCACATAGGCTGCTGTTACTGTTTATTATCTATCATGTTGCCTAGTCACTTTATCCTTACCTATATGTACATATCTACCTCAATTACCTCGTACCCCTACACATCGACTCGGTACTGTTACCACGTGTATATAGCCAAGTTATCATTACTCGTTGTCTATTTATTCCTTGTATTATTATTTTATATTCATTTTATATTTTTCTCTCTGCATTGTTGGGAAGGGCTCGTAAGTAAGCATTTCACTGTTAGTCTACAACTGTTGTTTACGAAGCATGTGACAAATAAAATTGCATTAGATTTTTTGACAAACAAACGCACTCCACACACACACACATTGTAATGCTGTGGTATTGTGGATTTTATATTGTAAATTTGCAATAACAGAGTAATAATGTAATAATGTCTTGTTTAATTTATGATGTAGGCTGTTGTTGTGTTTTGCTGTTTTAATCATTTTTGGACCCCTGGAAGAGTAGCTGCTGCCAAGGATGGGGATCCTAATAAATACTACTCAATACTAAAATACGTATACCTCTCTCTGGACAGGGTGTGTGTATGAGAGTGTGTGTAGCCACAATATATGTATACACCACCGTTCAAAAGTTTGGGGTCACTTAGAAATGTCCTTGTTTTCAAAAGAAAAGCAATTTTTTTGTCCATTAAAATAACATCAAATTGATCAGAAATACAGTGTAGACATTGTTAATGTTGTAAATGGCTATTGTAGCTGGAAACGGCTGATTTTTTATGAAATATCTACATAGGCGTACAGAGGCCCATTATCAGCAACCATCAGTCCTGTGTTCCAATGGCACGTTGTGTTTGCTAATCCAAGTTTATCATTTTAAAAGGCTAATTGGTCATTAGAAAACCCTTTTGCAATTATGTTAGCACAGCTTAAAACTGTTGTGCTCATTAAAGAAGCAATAAAACTGGCCTTTTTGAGACTAGTTGAGTATCTGGAGCACCAGCAATTGTGGGTTCGATTACAGGATCAAAATGTCCAGAAACAAATAACTTTCTTCTGAAACTTTTCAGTATATTCTTGTTCTTTGAAATGAAGGCTATTCCATGCAAGAAATTGCCAAGAAACTGAAGATCTCGTACAACGCTGTGTACTACTCTCTTCACAGAACAGCGCAAACTGACTATAACCAGAATAGAAAGAAGAGTGGGAGGCCCCGGTGCACAACTGAGGACAAATACATTAGTGTGTCTAGTTTGAGAAACAGCTGCCTCACAGGTCCTCAACTGGCAGCTTCATTAAATAGTAACCCGCAAAACACCAGTCTCAAAGTCAACAGTGAAGAGGCGACTCCGGGATGCTGACCTAGGCAGAGTTGCAAAGAAAAAGCCATATCTCAGACTGGCCAATAAAAATAAAAGATTAAGATGGGCAAAAGAACACAGACACTGGACATTTTCTTTGCAACTCTGCCTAGGTCAGCATCCCGGAGTCGCTTCTTCACTGTTGATGTTGAGACTGGTGTTTTGCGGGTTACTATTTAATGAAGCTGCCAGTTGAGGACCTGTGAGGTGTCTGTTTCTCAAACTAGACACTCTAATGTATTTGTCCTCAGAAGAAAGTTATTTGTTTCTGGCCATTTTGATCCTGTAATCAAACCCACAATTGCTGATGCTCCAGAGACTCTACTAGTCTCAAGAAGGCCAGTTGTATTGCTTTTTAATGAGCAGAACAGTTTTCAGCTGTGCTAACATAATTGCAAAAGGGTTTTCTAATGATCAATTAGCCTTTTAAAATGATAAACTTGGATTAGCAAACACAACGTGCCATTGGAACACAGGACTGATGGTTGCTGATAATGGGCCTCTGTACGCCTATGTAGATATTCCATAATATTCAGTTTCCAGCTACAATAGCCATTTACAACATTAACAATGTCTACACTGTATTTCTGATCAATTTGATGTTATTTTAATGGACAAAAAATGTGCTTTTCTTTCGAAAACAAGGACATTTCTAAGTGACCCCAAACTTTTGAACGGTAGTGTACCTCTCTCTGGACAGGGGTTTGGGTTCAGGCCGGAGGGCCAGCAGTGCGTTTCCGGTGCGGGGCGTCGGAGGCGACCGGGGGAAGTTGAGGTCGAGGGATCCTGACTTCCTGTGCAGAGGCTCTAACCCCATGGCCCCCGCCATCTCACTCTCAATTGGACAAGACCCGGCACGCCCCTGAGCCTCCATTGGACAGGAGCCAGAGCGGGTGTGATGTGGGAGGACGGCACCCGACAGGGGGAGGGTTGGGGGGGAGGACGGGGGAGAGCGAGATGACTTCTTCTTGGCCGCGGCTCCCGAGAGAAGCTTTAGCAGACCTCCTTTCTTCTCTTTCTGCGGACAGAGAGAACGAGATGGAGAAGAGAAAGGGATGATAAAATGATAAGTCTCTTCTTTTCAATCATCTACAGACTATCTGTTCTCTTTGTCTGACAGTATCACTCCTGGTCTCAGAGACAGTTAACCACTGATATCTACCTGATGTAATAATGACATCTCCCGTTTGCCAGTACAGTATCTATTTGAGATCTGAGTGTAGTTCTCTGACCAGCCACCAGAGAGCAGCACATATACAGAGAGCAGATAGTTTAGTCTCGATATGTGTGAGGTGGAACTTACTGAGGGTGTGTGTGTGTGTGTGTGTGTGTGTGTAATCATGTGCCTGTGTGCGTGCTAGAGGTGATGGGTGAGTCAATTATCAGCTCATAATCAGCATGGAGGCGTCTGTGACGGCACAGCAAGCCTCATAACACACACACACGCAAAGACACGCGCGCACACCACAAATCTCAAACTCCCTGACACACACAGCTCAATCAGACAGCAAACTCCAATGCATAATAAGCCAATGCATGTGGGAAATAAAATTGTTAGGATAGATATGAGGCTTAATGCTATGAGACTAAATCATACTGTAGTTGATCCATCACAGCTCATAGCCAAATAATGTTTATCATGGTCGTTCCCTAGTCTATTTGTCTTAGTCTCTGCCCAGCTTCAGATTAAATCTTATAGTCACAAACTGTCTCATCTTGTGTCTGTGAAGCCAGATAGGCTCCTCTCTCACAGACATCTCTACCATCCATCACTGTCACCATGGACTCAGCTTTAATATACATATCAAGATGAAGAGAGCAACACAGAGACGGCCCTGTTACACTGATAGTCTGTCTGTCTGTCTGTCATTGGAGGATTCTGCACCATGTCCAGGTGCAAGCCACTTCCCCTCAACACCTTTCCCCCTAGCTATTCCTTTAATAATCCCTGCCTATATCCTGACTATGGCATCATGTTGAGGGATTTTAAAGCAGTGTGATGTGGGAACCAGACTGTTATGAGTTTAGATAAAGGGAGGTAGTGGTGGGGCGAGAGAGATAGCAAGGAGAGAGAGAAGAGATGAGAGGACAGAAGAAGAGAGACAGCTAGATGATTCACCTTCTCTGGTTTTGGGGGGACTGCCCCCTGGGCGTTGCTGTGGAAGGGGCCAGGTGAGGGCGGTTGGAAGGGATTGGTTGATTCTCCATTGAGCAGGGCGGCACTGGCGTTGGGAGGGGTAAGGCAGGAGAGGGGAGAGGAACGGGGAAGGAGGGGAGAGGAGAGGCAGGAGAGGGGAGAAGGGCCGGGGGACACCATGGACATTGGGCGAGCCGATTGGCCTGCGGAGCGCGAGGGGGAGGAGTTCTGATGTCGGAGAGGAGAGATGGCCGCTGTGGGACGCTCTGGGCTGCTGGCAGGCGGGCTATGGACTGAACAAACACATTACACACTATAACACACTCTTATATAGTATTACACAGCATCTTACTGTTACAAGACACCACCTGCTTCCTATTCCTGCTGTCATCAGAGCTGGCAGCCAATAGGAGAGGCACACTATGGGAGTTTGAACTCCCATAGCCTACCTATGACCATACTTTATTTTGTAATGGATACCAGATGTGTTGATTTGTGTGTGTGAGAAAGAAAAAGAGAAAGAGAGAGAGGAGGTGGGGAGATATTGAGTTCTAAGCTCTATCATTACGCCTCCACTAAACAACAGCACAGTGATGTCACTGAGGAAGGAGTGTGTGTGTGTGTGTGTTATTCTGGGCACCGATTCCACACTGTACACTCATGAGGCTCCCAGGAGAAACTTTAAATACCATCATGTTCTCCGTGACGGAGAGAGAGCGGAGGAGGGAGAGAGGGAAGGAGGGAGAGAGGCAAGGAGGGAGAGAGAGGCCAGATATACGAGAACTGGATCAAATGTACAGCACTAGAACATGAATAATCTTTGTGTGTGTGTGTGTGTGTGTGTATATGTGTGTGTACTCACCCAGTTGCATGGCAGAGCGGGCCTGGTTAACTGTTTGTTGTCCGGAGCGAAGGCAGTTCTTCAGCTGAGCAGCAGCAGACTGGGGGGAGGAAGGGGGAGGGGAGGGACGAGAGGCGGAGGGGGAGGCTGCCTTACTTCCCTGTCCCGCCCCTCCCACCTGTCCTGAGAGACAGGAGTTCCGAGAACCACCCACCGCAAACGGAGCTCTGCACAGAGAGAGAGAGAGAGCGAGAGAGAGAGGAGGGGTTGGGAGAGCAAGTAAGAAAGAAGAGAGACTCAATGGTTCCAGCGAGTCCTGTAAGAATAGTAACCATGATACCATTGACATCAGCTCTATGATACTACCATCACCATAGCTGCTTATCGACTGCCTGTCACACAGACTTATGTGTTTGAAAGGGTGTGTGAGAGAGAGAGTGTGTGAAAGGTGAAAGAGAGTATTTGTGTGAGAAAAAGAGAGAGAGCGACAAAGTGTGTGCGTGTGTCCATGCGTGTCTCACCTGGACACAGGTGTGACGTAGTTTCCAGGGAAGACACCTGAAGCAGCTGTGCGTAGTGAGGTTCCTTTAAACCACCCGTCCTGACACTTCTCTGTGACGCGGTACATCTCTCCTTTCCTCAGCTCCAACTCATCTGCCTTCTGGGGCTTATACGCATACAGGGCAAGGTAGCTGGGATACACAGAGATCATTCATGATAACAGGACTGAAAAAATGTGTGGTAGTCTTTTAAAATGGTCAAATAAATATGTAATAAAATACTCCCACATAAAAAGAGGTTCTGTACAATTGTCTCATGACCTCAAATCCAAATGGCTGGAGTAAAGAACTCAAAGACCATTTTTGACTTCACTGTCCAAATACTGTTGGAGGGTACTGTATGGCTGAATATATGTTTGATATATGAATGTATACGTCTGAATATACAGTACCAGTCAACATTTTGGAATTCAAGGCACACTTAACCAGCATGGCTACCACAGCATTCTGCAGTGATACGCCATCCCATCTGGTTTGCGCTTAGTGGGACTATCATTTGTTTTTCAACAGGACAAGACCCAAAAGGGCTATTTGACCAAGATGGAGAGTGATGGAGTGCTGCATCAGATGACCTGGCCTCCACAATCACCTGACCTCAACCCAATTGAGATGGTTTGGGATGAGTTGGACCGCAGAGTGAAGGAAAAGCAGCCAACAAGTGCTCAGCATATGTGGGAAATTCTTCAAGACTGTTGGAAAAGCGTTCCTCATGAAGCTGGTTGAGAGAATGACAAGAGTGTGCAAAGCTGTCATCAAGTCAAAGCGTGGCTATTTGAAGAATCTCAAATATAAAATATATTTTGATTTGTGTAACACCTTTTTGGTTACTACATGATTCCATGTGTTATTTCATAGTTTTGATGTATTCACTATTATTCTACAATGTAGAAAATAGTAAAAATAAAGAAAAACCCTTGAATGAGTAGGTGTGTCCAAACTTTTGACTGGTACTGTATGTCTGGAGAATAATAGGAGGGAAGAGTAAACAAGGTCTCCATGCACTGCCTTCTGGGTTACTATGGTAACTGGAGGACGTTTTCCCCATAGCAACAGGGCTGGTTGCCAGGTCGGAGATGGAAGTGTCTGACCTCATCAGTGGGACAACCTGCTCTGGATACTGTGTGTGTGTGTGTGTGTGTGTGTGTGTGTGTGTGTGTGTGTGTGTGTGTGTATATGTTGCCTGCACCCAGGGAAATATGTAATTAGATGCGACAGCATCTCTGTATTCATCTCAGCTTCCGTACCAGCAGCTCAGAGGAAAGAGCAAACATTGTCAGGCAACTCATTTACCTATAGATTTACCAGTTAGTGAACCGTGCCTGTATTATGAGTAAACTTGTGTTAGTTTCTTGAGTGTGTACTTACATGTTGAGTGGTAGTTGGACCTTGGCTTGAGCCAGCAGTTCTGAGGTGACTGAAGCCACTCTGGGAGGAACCAGAACACCTACTGAGGAGGGAGAGGGACCGGGGGGAGAGTCCTGTATGCGTGCAGCAGCCCTGGGGTCAGAGGAGCTGATGAGGACAGGGTGGGAGATCTCCATACTGTGTCTGTTGTTGAGCTGGGCTGTCCGCTGGGTCACACTCAGAGCTGTGAACGAGTGGCGCTTCTTAGCATTCTTCTTCCCCTCTCCTCCTCTCCTCTCCTCTCCCTCTCTCCTCTCCTCCCCTCGCCTCTGGAGGGCACCATTGCTGCTTTCTGTAGAGGATGGGTTAGGGGAGGGGCCAGGGGAGCAGGGACCCAACGGGGGGCTGGGGGGTGGGTCAGAGCTGGGTCCAGGGACGGGATTGGGTGTCGGCTTGTCAATCTCCATCAACTGTTTGGCTGTTTCATTTAGCTAGAGTGAGGAGGAGAGGAGAAGTGAGGAGAGAGGAGGAGAGGATGAGATCCAAATTCTTATTAGTAAACTTCCCTACACACTCCTGGCTCTCAGAGCCCGAATGCTCTTGCTGGCAGAACTTCAAACCAGCCGCAAAGGATCACACACACACACGCACGTGCAAAGACACACAACCACACACATACATACATACAACCACACACCGCACCCTGAGGAGTATTTTTTGTACTCAGTGAAAGAGGAGGAGGAGAGAACAACGTTTGTAGTGCAGCTGATATCTGAGAGGATGATAGTAGATCTTGTAGTCTGTTCCTGCTAGTCAGATAACCTACACACTGAATCTGCCCAGCAACAATACTACTCACTCTACCTCACAGACGGATGCTCAGTCTCACAGTCACAACACAGAGAGAGCAGGTCCTCTCAGTACACACACACACACACACACACACACACATGTTTGTTTTACTATCCTTGTGGGGACCAAACAATTGAATCCCATTCAATCCAATTTTCCCTAACACCTAACCCTAACCTAAACCCCAAAGCCCTGACCCTAAACCTAACCCTAACTCCTAACCTTAATTGTAACCCTAACCCTAATTGTAACCCTGAACCTAACCCTAAAATAGCCTTTTTCCTTGTGGGGACCGGTGAAATGTCCCCACTTGTCCAAATGTTCCTTGTTTTACTATCCTTGTGAGGACTTCTGGTCCCCACAACGATAGTAAAACCAAACACACACACATATACACACACCACAAAGGTCAATGTGACATCATGCCATTATCACCATGTTGAACTCAGAGGAGGCCACTGCTACATTCATCCGCATCAATATCACCTACGCTAAAAACACACTCTTTTGTCGGAGAGGTTTCCCTCTCTGTGTGTGTGTGTGTGCGCGCGTGTGCGTGGGTGTGCATGTGTGTGTATAGACTGTAGGAGTGAATCTGTCTCAGTGTGTGACACGTTAGTTTTCCATATTAATAAATATGCTAATCAGAGCCAGAACATATGGTAATGAGCATGATAGATTGATCCTGCACTGACGGCATCACACTCAGGGGACCAATAGAGACACACACTTTCTCTTCCTGAAGGTCAGCTACACACAGACACAGACAGACAGTGAATAACTTCATCCAAATATTATGTTTTGCCTCTCGCCATCTCATACTTTCCCACAGTATACACAATAAACCTGAATATGTCCCTTATGACTGTCTCTTTACGCTATTCACAAGGGTCTTCACCTTTTCCTTGGCAGACACAATGTGTGTGTGTGTGTGTGTGTGTCTGCGTGCGCTCTTCCCTGAGGCAAACCCATCCTTCACCCTGTGCTTTTTTGCTTTCTGTGGTCATCTTTCATTTGAACAGCGCTGTGCTCACTGTGTGTATGTGTGTGTGTGGTGCATTAATTACTCCATGTCCTCTAGGTGAGTCTGACACTACAGCTGATGAGCTGATATCTGCACTGCGAAAAGGGCAAGCGAGACACACACTGTGGCAAGTGCGTCTCCCCCACCCACACCCACTCCTAACTCAAACTGCAGTGTGATTAAAGGGGTGTGAAGGGTTAATGGCGCAGCGCCACACCACCAGAGAAGAGGAGACAGGAGGATAGCAGAGGAGAGGAGAAGAGAGAGCTCCCTCCTCCCTCCCTCAATGCTCCACTCCAGCTGGGACACCCTAATTATGCCCCACCCCCCACCCCCACCACCTCGTGCAGAGGTAACCACACACACACTCCATGCCATGTCAAAGTGATGGAAGACTCTTAATTATTGATGTATCTCTATCTAATGTGTGTGTGTGTGAGAGAGTGAGTGTGTTGTTACCTCTACGTAGAGGATGGGGAAGATCCCGATCTTATCTCCCAGCATGCCCTCTGCCCAGTTGTCGTCCACTCGTCTGATCACTGTCAGAACCTCATCCTATTAAACACACAGACAGGAAGTGTTTTTTAAGGACAACAGGAATTCTCTCTCTCTCTCTCTCATCCTTCCATTCAGACATTTAGCTAGGGAACTGCAGCTGTGATTCTGTGTGTGTGAAAAGAACTGTGTGTCTGTCTCTCTGTCCTTTGACATGGCCCACTTTCCCCAGCTCCATCCTGAGAGTGTGTGTGAACCCAGGCCAGGTGCTGCTGATGAACACACACACACACACACACACACACAGAATGACAGAGAGAACAAGAGATGCTGCATCCTCCAGTGTCCTTAGCTAGATGACTGTGTGTAACAGCATGAACAAATTATGAGCTTTAAAGAGGAGAGGAGCGGAGGGAATACAAATCACTGTTTATCACAAACA